CAAATAAAGTATTGTGTCCATGCATAACTAAAAACATAACTAAAAAAGATGTTTTGATGGCAACTTCCAATTATATAACCTTCTGCCACAGGTGACTCCATGTCCACTGTCAATAACTATGCTCATCAGTGTATGCTCACCAACTTGTCAAGATATCCAAGAGGCTGCTAAAGGCAGCACTGCCTGAGTTGCAATGTAGATAGACTCTTTAAAATTTTTTTTGTTTTAATTAGTTATACATGACAGTAGAACACATTTATGCACTTTGATATATCATAAATAGATGGGATATAATTTCTCATTTTTCTGAGTGTACATGTTGCAGAATCATATTGGTCATGCAGTCACATATACACATACAGCAATAATGTCTGTTTCATTCTACTATCTTTCCTACTCTTAGTAAATACAAAAAAGCAGAGATAAGACCCTGCATTCCAACAGACCACAATGGAATGAAATTAGAAATCACTATAAAATAAAAAATAGAAGCTACTGTTAACAAATGGAGACTAAATAATACACAATTGAATGATGAAATCAAGGATGAAATAAAAAAAATTCTTAGAAGTAAATGAGAACACTGATACAACGTATCAAAATCTCTGGACACTATGAAGGCAGTAGTAAGAGGAAAGTTTATTGCATCGAGTGCATTCATTAAAAGAATAAATAGTCAACAAAACAATGCTCTAACACTACATCTCAAAGCCAGAAAAAAAGAAAAACAAAAGTGTAGATAGACTCCTGATACATTAAATGATTCAAACATAATTTCTGCAAGATACTTCCTATTTTCTGGTGTATTCACTGGAGGTCTGCCATTAAAAATAATGGTCCTTATTTTTTACTCAAGGTATTTTATTCAAAGGTATTTAAAAACCACTTGTTCCATGAATCTTTCCATAAGAGCCCAGTCCTCAATGATTCCATGTCATATTGGCCACTTTAGAGTACAGGTAGGATTACTAATGGCTTTATCTCCTATGAAAAAGTCAAGGTCACCAACATCCCTCAACCACTATCCTTTGGTTTGGGTTGACTACTTTTGCAGACTCTGATGGCAACACATGACAGAATAATGAACTATGGCTCAGTGTTACCTGTAAAGCTAAGCTTGGTATAGCTAGGAAGTGCAAGACCTCAATGCCACAGTCCACCACACAGGGAGGCAGGGAGCCTGCCATGTTTGGGATGCATGGTACCATTCCATCTTACCCACTACTAGTAGTATATACACTAAGACAAAATACATATACAAGTACTTTGGAAAATGTGGGAAGCAATACAATTGCAAAATATTCCTACAACCTGGGAATGGACAGAGCCCAGGCTGTTTTGTATTCTTCCCTGACTCAAATAGCCACTGCTTCCCCTAACTGGCTACCTGCCGTATGGTAAACCAAAGTGTGCCAGGTTCTTTCATGTGCCAATGGATCAGACAAAGATCTAGATCCTATCTACATTGATCCATACTCCTTAGAGAAAGACTTCATATGTTTTAGATGATGCTGTCAGTGTCCCTGTTACAAAAGCATGGCTTGCCCTTTCTCCAAATCCCTATTTCCCCAATCTTTCTCTCTTAGGGGTGGTCTTCCTTTCATTACATACATAATCCCTTCACAAACACTTTCGCTTTCTTTTCTATTCCCAGTGAATCTAAACCTATAAACCACTGTACTCTTTGTATAATACCATAAATTACTGATACATTGAACTTGAAATAATAAATAACTAAATTTAGGGAAGGTAAGTGATAAACAGCAACAAGAGTTTTAAAAGTGAGTGTGGAAGGCTGGGTGTAGTGGCACATACCTATAATCCCAGCCACTCTAAATAATGAAGTAAGAGGACTGCAAGTTCAAGGCCAGCCTCAGCAACTTGGTGAAACAATGTCTTAAAACAAAAAGGGCTAAGGATGTAACTCAGTGGTAGAGTGCTTATCTAGAATGCATGGAAGTCCTGGGTTCAATCTCCAGTAAAGAAAAGGAAAGAGGGCTAGGATTGTGGCTCAGTGGTAGAGCACCTGCCTAGCATGTATGAGGCACTGGGTTCGATTCTCAGCACCACATATCAATAAATAAAATAAACATCCATTGACAACTAAAAAAATATTAAAAAAAGAAAAAAGAAAAGGAAAGGAAAGAAAAGAGCCAGGTGCTGTGGCACATGCCTGTAATCCCAGCAGTTAGGAGGCTGGCACGAACATCATGAGTTCAAAGGCAGCCTCAGCAACTCAGTGAGACCCTGTTTCAAAATAAAATATATAAAAGGGATGGAGATATGGCTCAGTGGTTAAATGCCCCCAGGTTCAATCCCAGGTACCAAAAAAAAAAAAAAAAAGCTTAAGAAAAATTCTACTTGATAATGTCTGCTTATTGAAAAACAGATCTACAAAAATAAAAAAAATTAGCCAAGCTTGGTGTCACAGGCCTGTAATCCCAGAAGCTCGGGAGGCTGAGGAAGGAAGATTGCGAGTTCAAAGCCAGCCTCAGCAAAAGCAAGGTGCTAAGCAACTCAGTGAGACCCTGTCTCTAAAAATAGGGCTGGGAATATGACTCTGTGATTGAGTACCGCTGAGTTCAATCCTCGATACCAAAAAATAAAAACATTTAAAAAGATCTGCAAATTTTTATTTCATTGATAGAACATTCCATTATTATCCACAGAATGCTAAGACTCTAGTTTGAAAATCCACCATCTATTCCATTCTCCTTTTTCCAACCCTCTTAGAAACATCATTTATGTGTCATACCTGTTTCCCTAAATGAATAAATTTGTACATTTTTTTTCTTTTGGTGTTACTGGGAAATGAACCCGGGGTGTTCTACCAGTGAATAACACCCCCAGCCCTTTTTATTTTATTTTTGAAACAGGGTCTTGTTAAGTTGCTGAAGCTGGCTGTGAATTTAAAATCCTCCTGCTTGCTTCAGCCTCCCAAGTTGCTGGGATTACAGGTATGCACCATTTCCAGTCACAATTTGTTTTTTAACAGATATGACCATCTGGTCTATAAATATTTGGAGAATTGTTAACATGTTACTTATATGTTCAGTAAGTTACCCCCTCCCTTTTTTTTTTGGTAGGGGGATTGAATCCAGGGGCACTCAACCACTGAGCCACATCCATAGCCCTTTTTTATTTTGAGACAAGTCTTGCTAAGTTGATTAGGGCCTTGCCAAATTGCTATGGCTTGCTTTAAAGTTGAGATCCTCCTGCCTCAGCCTCCCAACTCACTGGGATTATAGGTGTACACCACTGTGCCTGGCTCAATAAGTATTTGTACCATACTTTAGTCTGCTATATGCTAGGCACTAAGCTAGACAAAGTACAATATGCATTAACAAATGCTGCTGAGGATGACAATTTCAATAATCTTCCATACTTACTAAATTTTCCAAAGCAATTTTGGAAAATTCAGGGGAACTCAGGAACTGACTCCCACTCCTGTGTTAAGTACTTTATAAATGTTATCTAGTTCTCAGAGTTAGAAAACTTCCTTAGAATTCAATGGCTAATAGGGTGAAGATGCTGAAAAGTCCCAAAGTTTATGCTCTTAACTAATATGTTCTTCTATTTCCCAGAACAGTTAAATAGACAATGAAGTGAGATTATAATAATAATTCATAATTCTGCCACCTTTGCTTCCTCTGGAACAGTCCATCTATCTGTATCTCCTTGTGCTGGAAAAGAACTCCCTGTTCACCCACCTCTATCAGAACACAAGTGTCTATCACACTGAAACCAGTAATGGACTATTGTTTGTTTCCCTGACTTGACTAGGAGCTTAAGAGCAGGGACAGTATTCCTTACCCCATGTATCCAATGCCAGACGGACAAAAGTTCAATGTTGAATAAATATATGGTAAACTGTTTGCATAACAAAAGCTCAGGAAAGGGAACTTCACCCAGCTCCTTCTGTGTGTCAGGCATTTTACCTATGTTCTCTGAGTTCACCTGATAATCAAAGGTAAGTTCAAAGGCATCTCTTCCAAAGTTGTTTCTCTCCTCTTTTCCCTTTGGAAATCCATAGTTCTTAGCACAGCTACTGTGTCAGCTGTTGTCAAAATAGTCTCTGACACAAGGCCAGTAATGTTCTACTAGAAAATTCAGCCTGCTGGTCACTGAGACTTTCAAAGTGTGGGTTCCCAAACTAGCAGATGTAACTGTTACCCGGGAGCTTGCAAACAACATCAGGCCGGTCCCCTGAACTTATCAATCAGAGTCCGAATTTATCAAGATCTCTAGATTATTCTTATGGTCACTAAGACTGAGAAGCACTGGTTTCAATACACTCTGAGGTCTAAATACAGGTCTATGCTGCTTACTAGCCACTGACCTTGGGCAAACTGCTTTAATCTCTATGAAGTTGTTTTCTTGTTTGAGGAGAAAGCCTCCCCATAAAGTTTTCAAAGATCTAAATGCTACAACGTCCACGGAGTGTCAGTAATGTATGGCATGGAGTGAACACTCATTTTTACACAAAGCACAGCAGGAACTTAGAGGAACAGTTGCAGGTCCTTCACAAACTCATTGTAAGGTCACGGATAAGACCCTGTGTCACCGCACTGTCAGTTCCTTCAAGTGAAAAATGACAGTCTGGCTGTGCCCGATTCCGAAGAGCTAACCTGGCAGACAGCCCAGGGAAACGAGGGAGACCAGAAAAACATAAAGGCCCAGAAAAACAATGCACCGCGAGCAGGCCTATGGCGAAGCCGACCCACAGGCCTGCAAACCCCTCTCCTCCTGGGAGACCCCGCCCGTGCAGCCCTCACCCGCCGACATCACCGGCCTCCGCCGGAGCGCGTTGTCTAGCAGGCCAGAGCAGTAGCCCAGGAAGCCGAAGTAGAGAAGCCGCGGGTCGGTCAATTTGGGCGGAGGCAGGCGCCGAGCCTCATCTGGCAGGAACTGTAGGGGCACTCGGCCCGGCCTTCCGTCCATCATGGTGATGCCGTTTCTACCTGAGGCCTGGCCTCGGACCTCCAACTATAAGGAAAACCACCACGACCACTTTCAGGGCCTAAGTGGCGAACGGTCTCCTCAGAGTACGGGGTTGAAGGACATGGCGCACGGAGGTGCAGCGCCCAAACACTTCCCGATGCGTGCTACGCCGGAACCCTGCACGTAAGGTTCCGGTAAACTAAATGGCCGGTGTAGGTAGTCTGCTGTTGCTTATTGGGCGGGTGGTAGTGGGGACAGCGGGGCCTGGGGTGGCGGGGGTGCTTTTATAAAGAAAATAAAACAGTACAGATAAAATGAAAGTTCCTTTTCCCTTATCCTCTGGAGCAATAATATTGAGGGAAAACTTGAATAAATCCTTTATCACTTGCTTCTGGTTGACTTTAAAAATCACTGGAGGTTACTATAAGTAACACCTCTGACATGTAGGTTATGATGGTTACATTTGCCTGGGTTATTTTTCAGGAACTTGAAGGCCATTTTTGTTAAATCCATTGACTCTTGGCCTGCATAGATGTCTGATGGGTGACCTTTTGACATCAGAAATCTGAAAACTCCACCCTCAGATTGAGATGGCTAAGCTAGCCCTCATTCTTTTTTTTTATTCTTTTTTTTTTTTAAGAGAAATTTTTAAATATTTATTTATTTATTTTTTTTAGTTTTCAGCGGACACAACATCTTTGTATGTGGTGCTGAGGATTGAACCCGGGCCGAACGCATGCCAGGCGAGCGCGCTACCGCTTGAGCCACATCCCCAGCCCTCTCATTCTTAATAGTTAACAGACATACCAGAAAATTGAGAGTTAAAAAGTAGATCAGCCTTTAAAGACATGAAATTAAGATACATCTGGAAACAGGATGTTGGAAAGTCAGTTTAGCCTTCAAAGTCTATGTGGTCAGCAGAGATACCAAGAAGCCAGAGCCAGGAAAGACAAGGTCACTAAAATCAAACCTATTGAGAAAGAATAATAGTATGCCCTGTTCCGAAAATAAATAAAATAAAATAGGGACTGTCTCAGATGATAAGGGACAAGTTCCAAGAAGTGAGGTGCAAACACAATTTTAGGTTTTAAATCCAAATTTAGATTTAGAATCATAATTTTTAGTGATTCTAAAAGTAAACTATAGTTAACTTTATTAGCATAATAAAAATCACACCTTATTTGGAGACCTGAGATGGTAATAAGTTATGAGTCCTATGAAGAGACATGATGAAGAAGAGTGAACATACTAAACTCCATTTCTACATGTCATGACATCAAGAGATTGGGTACCTGCCTATTATGTAGATGCCATGTTAGTTGTACAACCTTTGTCCTTTAAGTTAGCCTGGGATTTCTGAACCCCATGTTCTGCTTCCCTGGTGTTTGAGCATAAGAGTAAAAAGTCTTGTTCCTGTGCTAATGTGTTTTTATCTTAATCTTCTGATAGCAAAAGAAGGCATGGAATTTTCTGAGTGCTTTGATGCACACCTGTAATACCAGCAACCTGGAAGGCTGAGGCAAGAGGGTCTTAAGTTTGAAGCCAGCCTAGGCAACTTACTGAGATCCTGTCTTAAAAAAAAAAAAAAAATTAAAATGGCTGGGGATGTAGCTCAGTGGTAGGTGTCCCTGGGCTAATTTCCAGTACCAAAAGACAAAGACAAAATAAACAAACAAAAAAAAAAAACGTGGAGAGTCAGTAATGAGATTTTTCTAACTGCCATTTTCTGAACATGTCAATCGTGAAGACTGATTATGCATGCACAGACCACTGACAACTTCACCTCCAGTCACCTTTACCCACATCTTAAATCACCCTGCTTTTTTTTTTCTTTGTGGTACTGAAATATTTCATTTATATAAAGCTCAATATTAGGGAAAAATACATTATCTATAGATAAACATATTACTGATAAAACTCTAAAAGGAAAAGCAAGTGAAGTTTTGAAGCTATATGGTGAGTATATTGACATACATTTTATTATTTTAATTGTATCTACACTTTTGGGTTTATGATATATTTTATATGATAATCAATTTTATCTCTTTATTGTGGTAAATAATATTAAATCTATCAGCTATTCTTGGTGTTTGCAGTGCTGGGATGGACCCTAGAGTCTTGTGCATGTTAGACAAATGCTCTACCACTGATACTACTGACCCATCTCCTCAGCCTAAGACCCTGCTTTGAATACTTTTGGGTATATACCCAGAAATGGGATTGCTCTATCACATAATATACTGGAGATCAAACCTAGGGCCTCAAGCATGCTAGGTAGGTGCCTCACCACGAGCTTATATCCCCATCCCTACCCCCTTCCCAATACTTTTTTTATTTTTTGGTACTGAGAATTGAACCCTGTGTTAATTCAGTTTTTAATATTTTTTGGGGGGGAGGTGCTAGGGATTGAACTGAGGGATGCTCTATTACAGAGCTACATCCCAGCATTATAAAAATTTGAGACAGGTTTATACTAAGTTGCCAAGGCTGGCTTCAAACTTGGGATCCTCCTGCCTAAGCCTCCTGAGTAGCTTAGAGGAGTGTGCAATTGGGCCTGGCTCAATTTTTAATTTTTTGAGGAAACTCCCTACTGTTTTCCATAATGGCTGCATTAGTTTACATTCTCATCAATAGTGCATAAGGACTCTAGTTTCCTCCACGTCCTCACCAACACTTTTTCTTTCTTTTCTTAGGTATTGGATATTAAACTCAGGGCCTTCACATGCTAGGTGAACACTACCCCTGAGCTACATCCCTGTGTGTGTTTGTTTGTTTCTTTCTTATTTTCTTTTGAGACAGAGTCTCCCTAAGTTGCTCAGGCTGGCCTCAAATTTGTGATCCTCCTGCCTCAGTCTCCTGAGTAGCTGAGATTACAGGTATGCACCTGACTTTTTTATTCTTTTGATAGTGGCCATTCTAATGCGTGTGAGGTGAAATTTCATTGTAGTGTGTGTGTTTTATTGGGGATTGAACCCAGGAGCATTCTGCCTTTGAGCTACATCCTCAACCCTTTTTAAAATTTTACTTTTAGACTGGGTCTTACTGAGGGTAACTAGACAGGCCTGGAATTAACCACCCTGCCTCAGTTATGCACCACTGTCCCCAGCAGAGAAAGGTAGTTTTGATGTCAACCTCATTCTAGCTTTTAAAGAAAGGGACTCAAAGCTGGGCATGGTGGCACATGCCTCTAATTTCAGCAGCTTGGCAGGCTGAGGCAGGAGAATCACAAGTTCCAGGCCAGCCTCAGTAATTTAGGGAGGCCCTAAGCACCTTAGAGAGGCCCTGTCTTAAAATAAAATAAATAAATAAAAAGGGCTGTGGATATGGCTTAGTGGTAAAGTGCCGCTGGGTTCAATTCCTGGTGCAAAAAAAAAAAAAAAAAAGATTCATTTATGTGGTATCCATGGCAAATGATTATTTTTTCCTAAGTAATCTAATTACATTTCTTAATTATCTCTTAGAGATTTGATCTAGGTCTCCTATGGTTTCAAGTTTCTTGCCTACTGAGATGTATAGAAGATAGAATTGGAAGAGACCATAGAGATAATCTAGTTTAAACCTTTTATTTTGTAGATGAGGAAAGTGAACAACAGTGAGATGTGACTGCTAAAATCATTTTATATTTGTGGAAGCCATAGACTTAGGATTGAGTTTCCTAATTATTCAGTCTAGTATGCACTTTTAATTTCAAGACTGTGATGCACACTGTTTTTAATATTTTTAGTTGTAAATGGACACAATACCTATATTTTATTTATTTTTATGTGGTGCTGAGGATCAAACCCAGTGCCTCCAAGTGTTCTACCACTAAGCTACAACCCCAGCCCTATTTTTTTTTTTGGTGGTACTGTGAATTGAACCAGGGTTTTGTGCATCCTAGGCAAGTACTTTACAACTGAGTTATATCCCCAAGCCCATGATGCTGGTCCAAAAGTTTTTAATATATGTGGGATTACAGGTGTGTACCACCATTTGAAGCTCATTGTAGTTTAGATTTGCATTTCTCCTATGATGATTGAGGTTGAACATCTTTTCAGATGCTTGTGGGTCATCTTCTTTGAAGAATTATCTATTTAATTTCTTTGTCCATTGTTAAATCAGGTTATTTGTTTTTGTTGTTGCAGAGTTGTAGAAATTACTTATACTTTCTGGATATTAACCTCTCATCAAATATATGATTTGCAAAATTTTCTCCCATTCCATGGGCTGCCTTTTCACTCTGTTGATTACTTCCTTTGATGTACAGAGGCTTTAAAGTTTGAGGTAGTTTCATTTGTCTCTTTTTGCTTTTGTAGCTTGTGTTTTGGTGTCATATAAAACAAGATTATTGCCAAATCCAATGTCATGAAAAATTTCTTATTTTTTTCTAGGCATTTTAATTTTACCCAAAGTGCTTAAAATCAGCATACTACAGTGAGGAAGCCACATCAATGTTTATAGCAGCTTAATTCACAATAGTCAAACTCTGGAACCAACCTAGATGCCCTTCAACAGATGAGTGAATAAAACAACTGTGGTTGGTATATATACACAATGGAATATTGCTCATCCTTAAAGAAGAATGAAATTATGGCATTTGCTGGTAAATGGATGGAACTGAAGAATATTATTCTAAGCAAAATAAACCAATCCTAAAGAACCAAAGGCCAAATGTTTTCTCTGATATGTGGATGCTAATTCACAATAAGGGGTGAGGGGGAACAGAGGTAATGTGGTCTAGACAGAGATGAGTGAAAGAAGGGGAGGGGGTATGAGGGTATGAATGATAATGGAATGAATTGGACATTATTACCCTATGTGCACATATGATTACATGTACAACCAGAAGAATGAGAAGTTATACTCCATTTATGTATGATATCAAAATGCATTCTACCATCATGTATAACTAATTAGAATTATATGTGTGTTTATATATATGAAAAATTATATATAATATATATATATATATATATATATAAAATTCTGATGCAGTGATTTGGGGGTGTACCTTACTGGTAGAGTCCTAGCCTAGTGCATACAAGGTCTACCACCGCACACACCCAAATTCAGACATATTTGTCAATATAATATTTTTCTTTAGGTTTTGTTTGATGTTTTTAATTCTTTTCAAACCAAACTCCTAAATTTTCTTTTAGGAATTTTATAATTTTCATCCATTGTGCTTTCTCTTCACTGATGCTCACGCCTGGCTCAAGTGGCAACTGCAGGGGACTCCGACTCCTGGAATGCTCTCCATGTTCTCTGTGGAAGACCCAATGTGGACGGTGGGGAACCACGGCACCCCTGGCAGGGATCCCCAGGAAGGCTAAGAAGAGGATGAGAACATCAAGCATACCTGGGATAACAAAAAAACAAGGAAGCGGAAGTAAAAACCAGAAAATTTAAAAAATCAGGAATATAAAAGAGAAAAGAATGGCAGTAGAAAAAAAGGCAAGAAGAAATTAAAAAGAGGTTAGAAGAGGGGCTGGGGTTGTGGCTCAGTGATAGACGGCTCGCCTAAAATGTGCGAGGCGCTGGGTTCAATCCTCAGCACCACATAAAATAATAAATAAATAAAATAAAGAAATTAAAAAAAAAAGAAAAAGAAAGAAAAAATTATTTTAGAAAAAAGAGGTTAGAAGAACCTGAAAAACCTAAAGTACAAACACAACACCAGAATAATTAGCAGATATCTAAACTGCGGCTTCAGAAATTACAGGAAGAGTCAGATCTTGAATTAGCAAAGGAAACTTTTGGTGTTAATAACAGAGTTTTTGGAATAGATGCTATGAATCCATTTTCAAAGGATGGTTTCAGAGTATGGAAATTTACTAAAAGATAAAATTACACAGTATGAAAAGTTAATTACACTAGTTTTTTGGAAGTCTTAGTTCAAGATGTATTTTGTTGAAAATTGATGTGTTGAAGGAGATAACCAATTCATTAACTGTGCTTTACAGTGAAAAATAAGCAAGAAAAGGCTGCAATGGAACAACTTTGTCAGAGTTTTGGCATTTTCTTTTCTTTGTAAAATAAGCTCAGTGAACTGCACCAGTTAACTATAGTTTGGTAAAGTCATGTTAACAATTATGACATCTGCAATGTTTTTTAAAAAATATTTTTATTTGTTGTTTATGGACCTTTATTTTATTTACTTATTTAAATGCAGTGCTGAGAATCGAACCCAGTGCCTTGCACATGCTAGACAAGTGCTCTATCACTGAGCCACAACCCCAGCCCAGCAACCAATTTAGTAAAATCACTATTGTGAGGCTTTTAGAAAAAGAATTTTATAAATTTCAAGCCAAATTTCTTGGTACCAGCCTTCCATCCTCGACTCCCTGCTCTTGCATCTTTCTCCTTTCAGAACATGGTGCCTCTGTTCATCCAGGTGTGATGCTCCACATGTAAAGTACATCTATGATGTTTTCCTTACTCTCAAGCCCCACGTCACATCATCTCCACCTCCTGTCAATTCCTCATCCGAATCCAGCCACTTCTTTATCACACTGCTGCCACCCTTCTTTGAACTTCATGATCTTGTACCTACGTAACTCCATAGGGTAACTGGAATGATCTTTAAAAATATATACTAGAGCTGGGGCTGTAGCTCAGTGGCAGAACACTTGCCTAGAATGTGTGAGGCACTGGGTTTGATCCTTAGCACCACACACACAAAAAAAATAAACAACAACAAAAAAAGGCATTCTCTTCATATACAACTACAAAAAACATTAAAACACACACACACACACACACATACTAACTTTCTGGGAATGGTGGCACACACCTATGATTCCGGGTACTTGGGAGACTGAGACAGGAGGAACACAAGTTCAAGGCCAGACTCAGCAACTTAGTAAGACCCTGTCTCAAAAATTAATATGGGTTGGGGATTTAACTTAGGGGTAGAGTGCCTCTGTGTTCAATCCTTCATAACACAAAATTAAATAAGTAAATAAATAAAAACATATACCGACTTACAACTAAATATAAAATTCTAATAAAAAGCCAAAGAACATAATTCAAACAAGGTTTCAGAAGAGAAAATACAATGACTCAAAATAGCAAAAGATTCTAACATTCTCACAGAAGAGAAATGTAGATAAAAAATTACCCTATCATTGGCAAAGATCTAAAATAATGATGAGGGGGCTGGGATTGTGGCTCAGAGTAAGAGCGCTCACCTCGCACATGTGAGGCACTGGGTTCAATCCTTGGCACCATGTAAAAATAAAGATATTAAAAAAAAAAGCCAATGGAAACATTTAAATTAAAAAAAGGGGGGCTGGGGATGTGGCTCAAGTGGTAGTGCACTCGCCTGGCATGCGTGTGGCCCGGGTTCGATCCTCAGCACCACATACAAACAAAGATGTTGTGTCCGCCGAAAACTAAAAAACAAATATTAAAAAATTCTCTCTCTCTTAAAAAAAAAGAATGATGAAAGAGTAAGTTGGTAAATGTGTGGGAAAATAGGCATCCTCATACATTGCCTGTGGAACATAAACTGCACCTTCTGTGACCAATTAGGCAACATCTATCAAGATTACAACATAGCCAGGATCAGTGGCAAACACCTGTAATTCCAGGATCACAAATTCAAGGCCAGCCAGAGTGAGACTCAGAATAAAAAATAGAAGGGCTGAGGATATATGTAGCTTAGGTATAAAGCACTCCTGGTCAATCCTCAGTATTGGAAAAACAAAACAAAAACACACACACACCCACCCCAAGAAACCCAAAACCAAAGTCAAACAAAACAAAACAAAACAAAAAAACAACTGCACATAGCCTTCAACATAGAAATCCCACTTTCAGAAATTTCATCTTTCATGTATAATCCTTGCACATATACAGAATGAAATATTGATTGCATCATTATTGTACTTGAAACACTGAAAACAACTTAAATGTCCATTAAGAGAAATCTTGAGGGCTGGGGTTGTGGCTCTGTGGCAGAGCCCTTGCCTAGCATGTGTGAGGCACTGGGTTTGATTCTAAGCAGAACACTTTTTTTTTTTTTTGGTGGTGCTGGGGATTGAACGCAGGGACCTTGTGCATGCAAAGTGAGCACTCCACCAACTAAGCTATATCCCAGCCCCTAAGCACTGCATTTAAAAAAAGAAATCCATCAACAACTAAAAATAAATGTATACATAAAAAAGATAAAAAAGAGGAATCTGGACAAATTAGGGAACATCTATATACTGGATTTTATAGAAGACAAACTCTAAAATGATCTCCAATTACTTCTGCCTCCTGTTATTCATGTCAGTATGGGTGGAATGTGTGATTTCCTTCTAACATACAGAATGTGGCAAAGGTGATATCACTTCCATGATTCCATTATGTAAATTTACAACATCTATCTCGATGTCTCTCTTACTGACTTTGATGAAGCTAGCACCTAAATAGTGATGACTCTACGGAGAGGACCTCAAGGCCAGGAATTGAAGGTGGTATCCACCCAACAGGCACAAAGAAACTTGAGGCTCTCAGTCCTCAACCCTAAAGAACTGAATTCTGTCAATAGCCATGTGAGTGTAGAAGCAGAATCTTCTGTAGTCAAACCTTCAGGTAAGCTGCCACAGCTCCAGGTGGCACCTTAATTGCAACTTTTTGAGAGATCCTGAAGTAGAAGACCCAGATAAGCTGTGCCTGGACTTGTGACCTACAGAAATTGTGAGATAATAAATGTATTGTTTCTAGTCACTGTTACTTAGAAATAAATCATTAACACAGATACTATGCAGATGTTAAAATAATGCAATTTTATAGGATGAATCCCCAAATATACTACGCACAAAAAGTGAAGTAAAAATGGTGTGCTTAATGTTATCGTTTGTGTGTGTGTGTGTGTGTGTGTATTCTCCAAGCATAGAAAATCTCTGGTACCTCTGTAATGATTACAAGAAATTAATAACAATGGTTGCCTTTTTTTTTTTGGTACTGGGGATTGAACTTAGGGGCACTTGACCATTGAGCCACATCCCCAGTCCTATTTTGTATTTTATTTTAGAGACAGGGTCTCAGTGAGTTGCTTAGTACCTTGCAGTTGCTGAGGCTGGCTTTGAATTTGTGATTCTCCTATCTCAGCCTTCTGAGCTGCTGGGATTACAGGTGTGCGCCACCGTGCCTGGCAAATGGTTCCCTTTTTTACAAATTTTTTTTTTTCAGTTGTAGATGAACACAATACCTTTATTTTATTTATTTATTTATTTTTATGTGGTGCTGAGGATTGAACCCAGTGCTTCACATGTGCTAGACAAGAGCTCTACCACTGAGCTACAAACTCCAGCCCCAGTGGTTGCCTTTTGGTATAGAACTGGATGGCACCTTTCCCATCCAACTTTGGGCACCTTTTGAGTTTTACTTCAGTATATAAAACTAATCTTAAAATTGTACCTCTCTTCCTGGCTCTTATGACCCTCTACTCACTAAAAAACTTCCTTGTGGGCAGGAATGTATCTTTCTTTCTTACTTTTGATTTCTAGCATCTACCACAGTGCATAACACTAAATAATGAATAAACTTGATTTGCAGTTTTAGGAAGGATTAAAAGAGGTTACATGGGCTGGGGATATAGCTCAGTTGGTAGAGTGCTTGCCTTACATGCACAAGGCCCTGGGTTCAATCCCCAGAACCACACACACACACAAAAGGTAACACATAGCACAAGACTTGGCACTTAGTAGATACTCAATAGAAATGAACACAATATGGTATCTTCCCTTTTTGAATCAGTCAAATGGGTTGTCATGAAAATGGGAATAGAACCTCATTATGTATTGCTCCAAAAACAAACAGGTGTGTCAGAAGAAGAAAAATATTAATTAATCAAGTATACCTTAACAGGGAGGCTGGGGCTGTAGTTTAGTGCTAGAGCATTTGCCTTGCATGTGTGAGGCACTGGGTTTAATCCTCAGCACCACATAAAAATAAATATTTAAAATAAAGGCCCATCTACAACTAAAAGAATATTAAAATAATAATAATAATAAGACCTTAACAGGGTTGTGGCTTAGCGGTAGAACACCCGCCTAGTGCGTGTGCAGCATTGGGTTCGATCCTCAGCACTACATAAAAATAAGTAAATTAAATAAAGGTATTGTGTCCAACTACAACTAAAAAATTTTTTTTTAAAAAGAATACCTTGGGGCTGGGGCATGGCTCAGTGGTAGAGCACTTGCCAAGCATGTGTGAGGCATAGGGTTCGATTCTCAGCACCACATATAAATAAAGATCCAGACAACTAAAAAAATGTTTAAAAAAAAAGAATACCTTAACAAATATCTGCATATATTGGAAGGGTTTAAGAGGTGATGGATACTGCTTAATCAGCCATTTATTCTTTGTCAGAACAACTGTAAAAAATAAAACCACTGAGGAACTCTTTTGAGAGCCTTTGTAAGATGGACTTTTTTTTTTTTTATTCATATATACCACTGTACGTAAGTATATGACGGTCCTGTCTTTTCTTGTGTGGCATTGGGAATAGAATCCATAGCCTTTAGTTGCAGATGGACACAGTACCTTTATTTTATTTATTTATGTGGTGCCGAGGATTGAACCCAGTGCCTCACACATGAGAGGAAAGCGCTGTACCACTGAGCTACAATTCCAGCCCCTGGTCCTGTCTTTTTAAAGAATGGTTGTATATATACAAGTATATTGGTTTTATTTCTTACTCCTAAGTTTGAAAAAAAAACACCACTGCTATTGATCTTATAATAAAATGCAGATGTTGTGAGAAACTAATGGCTATATTCATTAAAGTTTTTATTTTATTTTTTTGGTACTAGGGATTGAACTCAGGGGCACTCAACCACTGAGCCACATCCCAAGCCCTATTTTGTATTTTATTAGAGACAGAGTCTTACTGAGTTGCTTAGTGCCTCGCTTTTGCTGAGGCTGGCTTTGAACTTGTGATCCTTCTGCCTCAGCCTCCTGAGCCACTGGGATTACAGACGCGTCCACCGTGCCCAGATTGATTCAAGTTCTTAAGATTTAAAAAATAGTCTCAGCTGCCATTAGTACAGTAGCCTATTTCTCTGAAGCACAAAAGGATAGAGGGGCCAAAAGCTATTTTTACCATGGTCATGCTGGAAGTATAATTTTATTAAGCTACTGAAGAACAAAACATTTTTTCAGTATTTTATTTAGAGACAGGGTCTCACTGAGTTGCTTAACCTCACTTTTGCTGAGGCTGGCTTTAAACTCACAATCCTCCAGTCTTAGCCTCCTGGGCTTCTGGGATCACAGGCATGCACCACCATGCACAGCCATATTATGAATTTTCTTGTACTTATTACTAACTTCTGAAACATATGAATTTGTTGTTGAAAATCACCTGCATGTCTATAAAATTTCAAAACATTCATGAATCTAAAATATAGTACCTGTAAAATGTACTGGGTGGTAGGCAGGAAGTCTGGGTTCCAGTCTATGTTGGCACCAGTCAGTATTTCTATCTCCAGAGCCATTTTCCTCCTGATAATGGAAGGGGTTATTCTGTTTAAAGACTATTTTTTGACTCTGAGGAAAATGTAAATATAACCTAATAGGTAAAATAGATCAAAACATTATTTATTTGGTGGAAGGTGGGATGGAACCCAGAGGCTCTGAGGTAACTTTGAAAACAACCCTCCAGTGCTCAACCCTCCATTCTAGAAACCCCTGCACCAGATGAGTTCTTTCAGTTCTGTCATCACATCACTTTTACAGTAACTACATGCAAAGCCTATTAAACTTGGCTTTGAGATGCAGTCAAATTAATCTTCCACTTAAAAAAAATTTTTTTTGGCTTGTACAACTGGCGAAAATGTGTGGAGTTACATTGGTCCTTTGTGCTAATGCTTGCACTAGTAACATTTAGGTTTTAATCATGCTCTGTGTGGTGTGCTTGCCCTTTCAACTGTGCCAAACAATGGGACTAACAATACAAGTTTGGATCCCTGGGGAAAGCAGGTTAAAAAAACACACTCAAGTACTACAGTTTTTAATGGTAGAAGCAGATCCCTGGCAGTGGGAACACTGGGTGGGGACACTCAATTTTCGAGGAGAAGGGAAGAAAGAGAAAAGATTCATGTGTGAGTATTTTCCATATATATTATATAATATATACACATATATAATACAATGCTTCAGGCAATGTTTTAAATCACTTCTCAATTCAAGAGATGATGATTACAGGTGCAGTGACACCTGTAATCCCAGTGTCTTGGGAGGCTGAGATAGGAGAATTGCAAGTTCAAAGCCAGCCTCAGCAACTCAGTGAGGTGCTAAGCAACTCAGTGAGACCCTGCCTCTAACTAAAATACAAAATAGGGCTAGGGATGTGGCTCAGTGGTTGAGTGCCTGAGTTCAATCCCTGGCACCCCCTACCACCAAGAAAGAAAGAAAGAAAGAAAAAGAGAGAGAGAGAGAGAGAGAGAGAGAGAGAGAGAGAGAGAGAGAGAGAGAAACACAACACTGAGAGGCAAAGGATGGTTAAATAATTCTTTAAAATGGAGGTAGGGGGTCTGGGGCTGTGGCTCAGTGGTAGCGTACTTGCTTAGCATGCGTGACACACTTGGGTTCGATTCTCAGCACCACATACAAATAAATAAAAAATAAAGGCCCATCAACAACTAAAAAATATTTTTTAAAAAATGGAGGTAGGATTTCCAACCAGGCTGTATGACTCCAGGGTCCCAAAATTCTTTTCCTTTTTTCTGTACTAAGGACTGAACCCAGGGGTGCTCTACTACTGAGCTACACCCCTCAGCCCTTTTTCATTTTTGGGACAGGGTCTTGCTAAATTGCTGGGGCTGGCCTCAAACTTGCAATTCTTCTGCCTCAGCCTTCTAAATTTCAGGGATTATAGGCATGTATCATTGTACCTTCCTTTAGGACCATTACCTTATTTTTTGTAGTGGGGATGGTACCTAGGGCCTTGTGCATGCCAGGCAGGCACTCTACTAATGAGCCACATCCCCAGCCCCCTAGGTTGAATCTTGAAGTATGCACAATCAGATGATAGTAGAAAAGTCAGAGGGGAGAGGAAGCAGCATGAATGAAAGGAAGCAGAGGTCTAATATAGCGTGGCACACTGAGAATTTTATGTTGTTGAGAGAACCAGACAAGGGTGCAGGGGAGACTCTGGTGAGGCGAGAGGAGTTATGTTTCTCTTTCTCTTTGGCCAAATCTCCATCTTTATGTATCCAATAACAGATTCAAGAGAAGTCTGGGAAAACAGAATGGATTTAAGAGATGGAATAACTGGATTAGCATCCTAGGATGCCGCTGACCTTGGACTTTCTCTGATCTTCTTAGGGGGTGATGGGTAAATAAAATGTGTAAAAGTTCTGGTGTTGGCTAGATAAATGTTAGCTAAATTTGCATGTTTAGCATTAGGTGACTAGAGGTCCTAGATAAAATGTAGTACTATCAAGGAAGGGACAGGAAGAGACAAATCTGCAAAATCTCTTCAGTTCTTTCACACCAGGAAAAGTTTAAGTGGCAGCTATCAAAATTGCAGTGCTTGCTATCAGAAAAAATGAGCTGTTCAAGATGTCCTAAACTCAATATAAGAGTAGCTTGTATTTGGTTTATAGTCTCTGATGCCTGGCCAAAGCAGAACATTAAATAGTCTCCTGACTTTGAATATTATTATTGTGTAACTTCAATGGGGAAAAAACAAACAAACAAACAAACAAAACCACAAACCAAAAAAACAAAAAACAAAAACAACCCCACCACCACCACCATCACCAAAAACCTCCTAGAACAAGGTGTACAGAATGGGGGTAGTACACCATCTGCCTGTACGCATGCTAAATAGGAAAATGTAGGAGCTGGTAATGATCCAGAAGTATTCTGTGCAGAAATAAAAAAAAATGCCATTTTATTTATGTTTCCTTCAGTAGAGGAGTCTAATTATCCTTTATATCCTGCCAATGGTTAACTTAGTATACAAATAATTATGCTGTTAATCAGACTCCGTTAGCTTTCAGTAAACATAGCAGTCAGAGGAAGATGAGATTTTTTTTTTTCAAATGAATTTCACTGCTTACGGAGGGCAGTGGCTTCTCACCATGGTGACAATCAGGTTGCTAGGCTCAACAAGGCCAAGGATGGCAAGCATGGTCCTCTAAACAGATCTACTAAAATGAATGGCTCATGCCACCAGCAACTTTCTTCAAGTTCTGATTAATTTCCCATGAAATAATTGCTTGGCCTACTTCCAAGCAGTTCCTCTATTCATTGCTTCTTTGTCTTGCTGACAGGAGGGCCAGTCAACACTGAAACATACAGTCTGAACCAAGCATATGTGATGCCCACTGCACAATACACTGAAGTCAGTAACAAAGGGATAAAGGGATACTTCAGCTTCCAGGAGGTAAAAGGGAATACAAATTCACAGCAGACTTCCAGAGGCCCCAGGCCAAGGAGGTAGAAAGTTTCCATCCAATTAAAAAGAGGTTTTTCTTTTCTGAAGAAAAGGAGAGAAAGATGAGTCATTCTGGTTTAGCAAACATTTCCCAGCTAAAGCTTTTCCACCTATACTGTTTTGGTGTGAATTATAACCAAGGCTGAAATAAAAATTTACATTAAATTTCACATCTAGAAAAAATGACAATGATATACCATTACATTATCATAATAATCCAAATTTACCCAGTCATCCACCTATGTTTGACACTTAGCTGAAGCTGTTCATAGAAAATTAGCTCTGTATTTGGAAGAGGGAAAGGGACTGGGGGCTGTGACACTAGAATAAAAATATGATGAAATGTAACATAATTGAGAATTTTTTTGTGGTACTGGGAATTGAACCCAGAGGTACTTTACCACCAAGCTACATCCCCAGCCCTTTTCAATTTTTTATTTTGAGACAGGTATCATTAAGTTGCCCAGACTGGATTTGAACTTGTGATCCTTCTGCCTCAGCCTCTTAAGTATCTGGGGTTATAGGCTCACCACTGTGTCCATCTAGAATTTCAAGTAAGTGGAATCATAAAATATTTGTTGTTTTGTGTCTGGCTTCTTTCACTAAGCAGATTTTCAAAGTTCAGCCATGTTGTAGCATGTATCTGAACTTCATTCCTTTTTCTGGCTAAATAAATTCCATTATAAGTATATACCAAATTTATTTATTCATTACTTTTATTGATAGCCATCTGAGTGGTTTGCATCTTTTGGGTATGTAAATAATGGTGCACATTTCCACATTAATATACATGTACTTGCTTGAGTCCCTGTTTTCAATTCTCTTGGGTGTATAACTAGGAGTGGAATTGCTGGGTCACATGATTTATAAGTTTTAAAATAATTATAATTAATTATATTAATTTTTATGTAGATAGATATGATCCATAAGCAAACTAATATAAAGTTTAGAAGAGCAAAAAGTTTCACCCATAAATCTTAACTATTATTTTTTCATAGTACTAGGGATTGAACCCAGGGTCTCACATATGCTAGGCAAATGCTCTACCACTGACTACTATATCCCTAGTCACTTTTCTTCTTCGGAGACAGGGTCTCATTAAGTTGCCCAGGTTGGCCTTGAACTTGTTATTCACCAGGTTTAGCCTCCCTTAGTTGGGATTACAGATATGCACCATCACACCCAGCATCTGTAACAATTTTTACATAATATCTTTGTTTTCATCTCTACTTAGGTAATTTTATCCATAATGCATCCTTTTTTTTTTTTTTTTTTTTTGGGTGTGTGTGTGTGTGTGTGTGTGTGGTAGTACTAGGGATTGAGTCAGGGCCTTTTGCATGTTATTCAAGTTCTCTACCATTGAACTACATCCTCAGCCCTTTACATTCCATTTTTTAGTTTTCATTTAAAGCTTTAAGCTAACTAGTCTTTCTTAAATACTTTCTCAAACTAAAGACACAAATATGCTGTCATGCCAGAATTACAGGATTATGGGTAATTTCTCACTCTGCTTACCAAGTTTTTGTAATGTTATATTACTGTTATAACTTAAAAACAAATTTTAAAGATTTATCTTACCAGTTAGTAGTAAACATTTCAGAAGTATAAATATAATTTAAATGTGCTTTTTTGATTACCTGAATAGAATCTTCAGTGAAGAAATACTATAGATGGTGAATAGTAACATGAGTAAGATTTTAATGGGAAGTTCTGTTTAAAAAAAAAAAATGATATTTTAACTGGTAAGTGAAAGATTTATGATACTTAAAACTATATACACACACAAACAGTTAATTATGACAATAATATTTTTGAGTTTATGCATTTTTGTGACATTTAGAGATATTTTGAACTAAGGGCAAATTGAAGATTTTATTTAAGATGACATCTCTGAAATTTTAGGATTGTTGAAATTAGAATAATGATCTCCAGCCTTGACTAAAAAGGCACATGGTGTCAAATGCATCTAAAAAGAAGCTGTTTACCTGGGGCAGTGAAGAGCAGAGGGAAGAGAGAATAATGTCCTGTTGTGGTCAGAATCAGAAAAATTGAAGCATCTCCTGCTTTTTCCACAGACAAAAGGCTAAAAATAAAAATTCTTACAATAATTCCTTAAAGTAACTGAAATCATACTTGCAAAGAGCTTGAATAAACCGCTTCTATCATTACTCTTACAACTGATTTAAGCTTAAAATAAGTACAGATTTTTCTACAAGTCCAATTCAATTGAGAATAATTTTTTATTCTAATTTGTTATATATGACAGCAGAATGCATTACAGTTCATATTATACATATAGAACACAATTTTTAATATCTCTGGTTGTATACAAAGTATATTCACACCATTCATGACTTCATACATGTACTTAAGGTAATGATGTCCATCTTATTCCACCATCTTTCCTACCCCTATGTCCCTTCCCTTCCCCTCTCACCCCTTTGCCCTATCTAGAGTTGGTCTAAATCCTCCGTTGCTCCCCCTCCCTACCCCACTATGAGTCAGCCTCCTTATATCAGAGAAAACATTCGGCATTTGGTTTTTTGGGATTGGCTAACTTCACTTAGCATGATATTCTCCAACTCCATCCATTTACCTGCAAATGCCATGATTTTCCTCTCTTTTATTGCTGAGTAATATTCCATTGTGTATATATGCACAACATCTAGGTTGGTTCCAGTTTAGCTATGTGAATTGTGCTGCTATAAACACTGATGTGGCTGAGTCCCTGTAGTATGCTGTTTTTAAGTCCCTTGGGTATAGACTGAGGAGTGGAATAGCTGGGTCAAAAGGTGGTTCCATTCCCAACCTTCCAAGGAGTCTCCATACTGCTTTCCATATTGACTGTACCATTTTGCAGTCCCAGCAGCAATGTATGAGTGTGCCTTTCCCCCCACATCCTCACCAATGGTTTTTTCTATTCTTTTTTTTTTTTTAATATTTATTTTTTAGTTTTTGGCGGACACAACATCTTTGTTTGTATGTGGTGCTGAGGATCGAACCCGGGCCGCACGCACGCCAGGCAAGCGCGCTACCGCTTGAGCCACATCCCCAGCCCCTTTTTCTATTCTTAATAGCTGCCATTCTGATTAGAGTGAGATGAAATTTTAGAGTAGTTTTGATTTGCATTTCTCTAATTGCTAGAGATGTTGAACATTTTTTCATATATTTGTTGATTGATTGTATATCATCTTCTGTCAGTTCCTCGGTCCATTTATTGATTGGGTTATTTGTTTTTTGGTGTTTAGCTTTTTGAGTTCTTTATATACTCTAGAGATTAAAGCTCTATCTGATGTGCAACTGGTAAAAATCTGTTCCTAAGCTGTAGGCTCTCTATTCACCTCACTGATTGTTTCTTTTGCTGAGAAGAAGCTTTTTAGTTTGAATCTATTCCATTTATTAATTCTTGATTTTAATTATTGTGCTATAGGAGTCTTATTAAGGAAGAAGGGGCCTAATCCAATATGATGGAGATTTGGGCCTACTTTTTCTTCTATTAGATGCAGGGTCTCTGGTTTAATTCCTTGATCCACTTTGAGTTGAATTTTGTGCATAATGAGAGATAGGGGTTTAATCTCATTTTGTTGCACATGTATTTCCAGTTTTCTCAGCAGCATTTGTTGAAGAGGCTATCTTTTCTCCAATGTATGTTTTTGGCCTTTGTGTAATATAAGATAACTGTAATTATATGGGTTAGTCTCTGTGTCCTCTAGAGAATAATTTTTTTTTTTTTTTTTTTAAATAGGAAAAGTTAAGTGACTGATAGAGTATACCAAACCAAATCAGGAAATAACTTCTCCAAAGAAAGGAATCTTGTGGGATTGGGAGCTGCCTAGTGGTAGCAGTCAGGCAAACAGGATTCAGAATTTCATTTCCAACCCCATAGCTCATCTCCTAGATAATGCCCTATATCTTCAGTATGAATTCAGAAAAAGACTATTTTTGGGGGGAGGGGGCTCCAGGGATTGAACCCAAGGGTGCTTACCCACTGAGCCACATCCCCCAGACCTTTTTATTTTTTATTTTGAGACAAGGTCATTGTTGAGACTCTTTGAATGTGTGATTCTCCTGAGCTGCTGGGATTATAGGTGAGTGTCACCGCACCCAAACTGTTCTACTTTTTAATCTGACAATTTCATGTTGATAAATAAACCCAGAGAAGCCATAAACTGACCTCAAAATTTTGCTTTAATGTTCTTTTAGCGTTTTAAATGATTTCTCAAGATTTGAGAAAAACATCCAAGAAAAAAAGGCCAATTTCATTATCATCTATCTATTGGGTTTTAATTGTACATAAAATGGACACTACTACCTTTAAAATGCTTCTTTTTAGCAGGGCGTGTTGGTGCTCACCTGTAATCCCAGTGGCTCAGGAGGCTGAGCAGGAGGACTGAGAGTTCAAAGCCAGCCTTAGCAACTGTGAGGCACTAAATAACTCAGTGAGACCCTATCTCTAAATAAAATATAAAATAGGGCTGGGGATTCATAAATTCTTTGAGTCCTAGTTTCTGCAGATGTTAAGAAAGGGGATGATACCCATTTATTCTAATTATCTTAAAGACTGTTGAGAGGCTCAAAGGAAGAATGCAAAATAATAATAATGATAATAAACAAACAAACAATATTGGAAAATCTACTTCTGTAATCTAAACATTACAGAATTATTTCAGAATGGTCTCAGTCCTTACTTTAACTAACACTTAACAAGGAACCATGGGACTTTATTTTAACAGAGGAGATATTGCCAAAGCCCAGGCTTTTTCTAAACCATGTTGCCATTCAACATCCACACCTATCATGATATTTAATTATTACAGTATTTTTACCAAAAAATGTAGAAACATCACATGCATTTTTGCATACCTCGGAACCTTCATGGGCCCAGGGATCCCAAGTAAACATTCCTGTCCTGTTGAACTGTTCCTTTGCCTTTGCCTACCCTGATGAACATGACAAAAAGGAGCACAACAAATGGAAAACAGCAAGACACTGTGAAATATGCCAGAAATGCAGACTGACTAAGCTATGTGCTTACCTCATTGGGAGAATTGCGAGGAGTATGGCTTTTTCATGGACATGCCACCCAAACATGAAGGAGCTCAAGGCACAAAGAATTAGACATTGGAGAAAGCCTCTAGGCCCTTGGGGTTTAAACCAAAGACAGAAAATGGAGGGCTAGAAATAATAAATAAAGATAAAATTTCAGTGTCATTTAAAATCCCAGCTTGACAGATCAGGCAGATGCAATTTGTATTAATGCTGAAAAATAATAGACAAGTCTCTATTAAATTGGTGTAATTTATCACGGTGTGCATAGTCCTCCATTTTTTTAATGTAATCTTTTTGTTTGTTTGTTTTTAGTAGCATGTGGACATAATATCTTTATTTTATTTTTTATTTATTTTTATGTGGTGCTGAGGATCAAACCCAGTGCCTCACATGTGTTAGGCAAGCACTCTATCAATGAGCTGCAACGCCAGCCCCATAGTCCAACAAACATTAACATGAAAGCAATTACTCAGAATAAGCAGGCATTTGGAAGTGTGTATTTAACTCATTAAAAGCAATTCTAATTATCAAAATTAACAAATGACAATTAAGTTCTGGATATACAGTATAATGATTTATATCTTTATAATTAGGATTAGCTCAATCTATTAGATCAAACTACAAAGTTTAGATATTTTTGGGCTAATAAGTTAGATGTTACCAAATTAATAAGCAAACATGTACCTTTTTGGGCTGGAGTATAATTTACAATAAAACTACTGCTTCTATACGCAGCTTACTAGGCTGAGATTTTTGAAAAAAGGTTTTGACCTCAGTGAAAACATGTGAACAAGTAGGCCAGCAGAGCTTAGTTATCTACATACTAGTACTGCCACGTACCTAAGTGGAGTCAGGTGTCTTGCAAATAAGTTTGGAAATGAAAATTAACACTGAGCATAATCATCAACAGGATTGAATTTATTGGAATTTTACTGAAATTATATCACAAAATTGAAGTCACCATGATCACTAACAATGAATGAAGGCTCTAACAGCATCTGACTCAACAGACTCAACTGATGTGCAAAGAGTCACTATTGACTTTCTCAGCTCATTATCTATATCAAGACAAAATATCCATGCCATCTAGACATATTTGGAATGCTGATCATTTAGTTAGGATGAAAAAAACAAAACAATCTGGATGATCTGCCACAAAGATTTCCTCTCTCTTCACAGCATGGTTCATGTCTTCTCTATGGGCTTTCTTTTTTCCTCACCCCAGGGTGGACAGATGGTCTAACAGCCACTGGCAAGAATCTTGCAGAGGCTTTATTGGCAATCCTTCCCTACCATGTACAAAGTTTCTCTAAGAGTTGCCAGGAAATGCTTCAGTCTGCAGGATTACAGCCATGGAATTCACCCTGCAGCCTGAAAACCTTCAAGTTGAAATTCAATCAGCCACGCAACAGAAAAGCAGAGAAAACTCAAGTAATACCAGCTGAATTCTTACCAGTATGGCGATCAGAGTGCAGATGAGTGTTGCCAAGGGAGTCACTGAGGGAAGGACTGTATGTTGGAACTGCTGAACCAAACCACTTGTCATTGAGGCCTTAGGGATCTTGTTGGGATCAAGAAGTTTCAATTCCAAACCTAGAGAATAAATAAATAAACAAACACACTCGCACACACACTCATACACACACATATTTGTAATTAATGGGACTCCATAATTACCTTGAGAAAAAAAATTAAACTACTAAATCTTCTTGTTGCTTAAAGCAAGATTTCATGAATTTAAGTCTGTACTGTCCTACCTCTGACAGAATGCCTCTTGCTTTAAGTTATAATCTATAAAGTAGCTGTTTGCATTGAAATGGGGAACTGTGGCAGCCTACAGGAATCTTGTGGGCAGGTAATATGTAAACAATAATCTGCTCTTACCTCTTAAATGAAGCAAGTTTTTGGAATGCAGACTATGTCAAATCCCAACTTTGAATCCGTAATTTCTTTTCCTTTTTTGGCAGTAGGGATTAAACTCAGGGGCACTTATTGCTGAATTACATCTCCATCCCTTTATTTTTTAATATTTTGAAACAGGGTCTGGCCAAGTTTCTTAAGACCTCGCTAAGATGCTAAGGCTGGCCTTGAACTCAGAATCATCTTGTGTGAGCCTCTCAAGTTGATGAGATTAAAGGTGTGCGCCACCATACCCAGCCTGAATCTTTCACTTCTTATAGGAGAAAGTCCATAATCTTAAATACAAAGTCTTCCATGATCTAGCTCCTTCTTACTTCTCCAGCCTCATCTCTTCTTTGTTAAATGTGGCCTGCTTATCACGAACTAACTGTGGGTCCTCAACATATCACTCTCAACATCTGTGTCCTTTTGCTCAGGCTACTCTTTGCTTAGAATGATCTACTTGTTTTGCCAAATTAACTCCTAATTCACTTATTCATCTTAGTTCCTAAATCGAAAAGCAGAGATGATTTTCTTGTAAGCTTTCTATTGAAGTGTTTGTATACTACACTGTTTTTGTTTTCATGCTCATTTCCTTTATTATACTATGTTCCCTTAAAGACAGAAATGATGATAGGATGTTGTCTCCTCTGAACAAAGGAGTTAAAAAAAAAAAACTTGTTAAATAAACCAAGTTTGGAATAATGATGAAAGCGCCTTCTCAAACAAGCACCAGAGTAACAGGACAGTCACAGATAGTTTGAGCACCTGTAAAGCCCTTCTAAATGCCATTACAAATCTTGAGGGAGAGGGGTGGGGCTGTAGCTCAGTGGCAGAGTGCTTGCCTGGCATGTGTGACACACTGGGTTTGATCCTCAGCACCACATAAAAATAAATAAAGGCATTCTTTCCATCTACAAGTACAAAACTAAAAAAAATTAAAATTCTTGAGGGAGGTCTGGAGATATAGCTGTTGGTAGATTGCTTGTCTCATATGCACAAGGCCCTGGGTTCACTCACCAGCATCACCCCCCGCCCCCTGTCCCATAAATCTTGAAGAAAAGATGTAGACTACTAAAATATTTTCTGCTTATTCACCCCTTTCTCTGTCCCCTTTAGCCCGTTGATTCTCTATTAAAAGTTAACAATTATTTCCCTGCAACACAGTTGCCTAACTTGTCACTGACTTTCTATGTGAGACATCTTTGAGGAGGCAGATATACAAAGTATAGCAGTTTCTTGGTTCAGATAAGGCAATTGGCTCTGTCCTGCTTTTTCTCACCAGGGTGGGCATGATTCATAGACGGGAATGAGTTATTCCATAGTGAGTTATTTTTTTTTTAGTTGTAGTTGGACATAATACCTTTATTTTATTTATTTATTTTTATGTGGTGTTGAGGATTGAACCCAGGGCCTTGCACATGCTAGGTGAGCGTTCTACCACTGAGCCACAAACCCCGCCCATAGTGAGTTATTTTTAACATAACCATCTCAAGGTGTACATTAGTGTTCATTACAACACAAACATGAAATGCATTGCCTAAGCCAGGCATGGTATGTGTCTGTATAGTCTCATCACTTAGGAAGTTGAGTAAGGAGAATCACTTGAACCCAGGAGTTCAATATCAGCCTTGGCAAAACAGTGAGATTGCATCTCAAGAAGGAAAAGAAAGCTAGGTGTTGTGGTGCATGCCTGGGATTTGGGAAGCTGAGGCAACATGATTTCAGGTTCAAGGCTAGCCTCAGCAACTAAGTAAGGCCCTAAGCAACTCAGTGAGACTCTGTCTCAAAATAAAAGGGCTAGGAATGTAACTCAGTGATAAAACATCCCTGGGTTTAATTCTCAGAACTGGGGGGGAAAAAAAAGGAAAACGTATAGACTGGGCTTTTTAATTTCTTTTCATCTCATGCTAAAATGCATGGTTATCATTTTCCTTATTGGCTTAATATCCAGAGTCACAATTTATACATTCTCTATTCTTGCTTCTTCATACATTTAAGTTTAAAAGTAAGGTTAGTTCTGCTGAATGTTTTACTTCAGGCAAAAATTACCTCCGAAGTATCTGTATATTGTTTTTTACCAAGAAAGAATTCCATTTCCAAAAGGAGCTTTTTTAAAGAATGCAATTTGTTGACTGCACTAAACCTCAGTCCCAAGAAATGTTTCCTCTGTTCATCCTGAGGGCTAAATGCAGGACTGGAGAAAAAACAATTCAGGCACATTCACAACATATTTCTGGATGTGACCAGTCCTATCAATATTCACAGTCTAAGTTTTGAAAAGATATGATACCATACCAATGACAGACAGAACTTTGTCCAAAGCATTGTATAAGGCCCAGAAGTTTGGAGCCCAGTATGCATGGCAGAGGCCCCTCTTGAAAGGAAAGAGTCGGGAAAAGACTTGAGGCAGCTGGTTCTGTTAAAAAAAGAAGTGATTGAACAGTCATCAATTTTTCCCAATGTCAAAAACAAAATTGGAAAGCTGTCTATGGCACAATGTGTAGAAAATTATAAGGTCTAGTACCAGTTTGTTCCTTCAAGTAAACAGTTGTATGATCCTGAGCAGTTTATAGACCTTTTTTAATCTAATCTTATCAACCAGTCAACGGGGCAAGACACATAAGAATACACTGAATACAAGTTCCATACTATTATGAAGTAAACAGTAATGAAAGAATTTGTAAGGTGCAAAGGAGAATTCAGAATGCAGATCATCCAAGTTTACTGGAGTGAAGGGGAGAGCAGGAAAGTCTGTAAGAGATATGGTACTTTTCAGTTTTAGTAGAAGTTAAAACTGACTTCAGGGTGGGGAACAATAGGAAAAAAGAAACACTTGAACATCTCTTCTAGGCATTTTGCTGTATATGAAAGATTATAAAAACACTGATTTGGGGGGTTAGAAATAAATTTCAGCAAGTACGTGAATTTGAAATAAAAAATCCACAAATAATGAGGATCACTTCTGCGTATATCTGTGTGTATAATATACAGTTAACATATACATGTATATATATACATGTACACATTTGAATATGCACAACAATGTCTGAAACAATACTACCCTAGTTTTGTGAAAGTCAAAAAGGGCAGAGGGTAAGAAATGAGTAGTTTTACTTACTTCATATATTTCTGGCTTTATAATTTTCTATTAAACAATGACAAACACATGTATTTCTTTATTTTTAAAAAAGAAGAAAAAAATAAACAGGCTTACCAAGGCTAGGAAAGGACCCAGCGAAAGAGCAGAAACCAGGAAAACGATGAGTCCCAGCGAAATAACACGGACAAAGCTGAAACTGTTCCATCGGACAGACCCATCTACAGAAAAGGAACATTACCATTAACCAGCAGCTTAGAGAAATATAACCCAATAATAACTGGAAGTATCCCCTTTGGGCTATATTGAAAGAACAGAAAAGTCAGGATGGGTAAAGAGTCAATAGGATCAATAAATGAGAAATATCTGTTGTGAGTCATAAAAAACTTTATACAGTAAGGCACTAAGTCAATACAGTTAAAGAAGAAAACAAAAAAACATTTTGTTATCAGTAAAACTTGCCTGGTTTATTTGCAGTGAAACAGTAAGAGCGTAGCAGATATATACCGTAAGCTGGTGCTACATAGAGGTAGATGTGCTTGAAATGTAGGAGAACGGCAAAGAAAAATGCTCCTTCCACATGCCTTTTCTAGAAGATTGAAAAGGGAAATATTACTTTAAAACTCAAGGTAAAAGAAATTGCAATAATTTAGTATCCTTGATTGAATCCTGAAAGAGGAAAAAGGACATGAGTGGAAAACTGGTGGTCAAGTAAGATGGTAACATTAGGGGAAAATAGTTGAGGAATACACAGGAACTCTGTATTATTTTTACAACTTTTGTGATTACTCACAAAATTTTTACTGAAAAACAGAAAAACATCCAGGGATGGTTGCACTCACCTATAATAGCAGCTACTCAGGAGACTGAGGCAAGAGGATCACAAGTTTGAGGCCACCCTGGGCTACTGAGAACCAGTCTCAGAAAACAAAAGGGCTGGGGATTTAACTCGGTAGAAGGCTTGCCTAGCACATGTGAGCCCTGGGTTCAATTCTCAGTGCCCCACCCGACAAAAAAGAAAAAAAAAAAACACTTTGTTAGTTTGTTTTATTGAAGTGATGGGGATCTTGCTATGTTCCTAAGCTGGCCTTGAACTCCTGGGCTCAAATGATCCTCTAGTCTCGGCCTTCTGAATAGTTGGGACTACAGACTTGCTCTATGCATCCAGCTAAAACAATGTCAAATATATTTTTTTATTTTAATTTTTATGTTTAGTTGTTGATAGACCTTTTTTTAAATTTATACGTGGTACTGAGAACCAAACCCAGTGCCTCACACATGCTAGGCAAGTGCGCTACCACTGAGCCACAGCCCAACAATGTCAATTTTCAAATAAATATATTCTAAAATATAAATGAAATATGCTATCTGGGATATATTTAAAAATAATCTAACGTGTATCTGTAGATCACTGTTCTATTTTCTCTACTTCTGTATGACTGCCTCATTTTTTTCTTTTTTCGCAGCGCTGAGGATGGAACCCAGGGCCTCACATGTACCAGGCAAGCGCTCTACCATTGAGCTATGTCTTATATAGAAAATTTAAATCATACAAATATATCTCTGGGAATATAGCTCAGTGGTGGAATGCTTGCATAGTGTGTGTGAGGTCCTGGATTCAATCTGTAGTACAGTTAAAAAAAAAAGTTATAAAATTGAAGGTAAATATTTTACAGACAATATAAGGAGGAGTACAAAGGCAAGTGATTCTAATACTTAGCCTAGTGGGTTCATAAATTCATTATTTCAACAAATATTTATTAAGTACCAAGCCTGATGCTTGAGATACAGGATGTATCATTAGTAACAACATACTACAAATCCTCCCTAAGGAGCTACAGCCAAAAGAATTCAATTACTTTCACCCCTTAAAAAGTCTTATAATACGTGGATTTCCAAAGAGGAATTGGGAATAAGAGTATGAATATATATGATGCTATACTAAAAAATTTAAATTTTTTTTTTTTTTTTAAGATGGGACCTTGCAATGTTAACCAGGCTGGTCTTGTAACTCCTGGGCTCAAGAGATCTTCGGGCCTCATCCTTCAGAGTAGCTGGGACTAAAGGCATATGCCACCATCCCTGGCTAAATCTTATATTACTATTACATATCAGGTAACTTGTTATAGGTTGAAGGTACCAGGTATAGCACTTGATCCTAACAAACTACCTAGAAATACAGGTATTTTGATTAAGAAACAAAACCCCAACCAAAATAAAAACAAGTTAACTATAATTAAAGAAGTCTGAATTCTACCTACCTCACAGGAATTTTGGAAAGATCAAATGTGGTAATGGTCCTGGTGTTCAGAAAGGGAAACTGCCAAAGGGACCATAAAAGGCCAAGTTCCTTTTCTTACTGTTTTATCAGGTGTGGTCTAGAATAGGTAAGTTTAGGAATAATAAGGAAATAGAATGGGATGCTTCCACATCTCTCTTCACCAATTTCATAACTTAATTTAAAATCCAAATAAAGTCTAGTTGATTCTACAGTCAAATTTTAGTTCATTTGTTCAACAACCATCCAATAATTGATTATTCACTGAACACCAATATGTTTCACACACTTTGTGGCTTTTTATTGCTAAAAAGTTCATCTAGCTGGGTGCAATGGCACACGCCCGCAATCCCAGCTGTTCGGGAGGCTGAGGCAGGAGGATCACAAGTTCAAAGCCAGCCTCAGCGAGACCCTGTCTCTAAATAAAATACAAAATAGGGCTGGGGATGTGGCTCAGTGGTCGAGTACCTGAGTTCAATCCCTGGTACCTGCCCCCACCCAAAATGTTTATCTAGGCATTTAGAGTTGACCAAGAACTTTATTTAATTTTTTATTTATGTTTTTGTGGTGCTGTTGTTAAAACCCAGGGCCTTGCACATGCTGGGCAAACAGTCTACCACTGAGCTACACCCAGCCCCTACAGCTGACAAGGTACTTTAAAACAGATACCAAATTTGATCTTTCCAAAGTCCCTGTGATAGGAAACTCCATTTTACAAAAAAAGAACCAAGGGGTAAGTTTCATTTTATGGATGAGAAAACAAAGGCTAAGATGGTTCAATGACTTGTCCCTGGGCAGTGATTCTCAAACCTGATGGTTTAAGAAAATTCCTTGGGGAGATTCCTAAATATCAATTCCAGAACTGAAGAGTCACCTAGAAATCTGAATTTCTGATTTCTTCCTCTATAAAAGGAGGATAATAGCTAAGACAACTTCACAGAATGCTTGTAAGGTAGCCTTAGTCAGGCATCCTATGTAACGAATCTGAAAACAGCCAATGCACTTGTGTGCTCATTAGTGTTAATTAGGATTTCAACCCAGGTCTTTTATTTTCCATTACACTATTCTACAAGCTTTTATGGTAAAGCACCACCATCATAGTTACCACACTGTAAAAACTGCTAGAGATCTCATTCCTATGGAAATGGTATCAACCTAACATAGAACTCAAATTAAATTCAAGCCTCCCACACTCTTAATAAGTTCTTAGAGTATAATTTTCTCATCTGTAAGATGGAGAAAATTACTGTCAAAAGAGAACATGGAATTTTTGAGAATACCCAATAAAAATGTCTATAGCACTTGGAAACCCTAAGCAAGGGGTCAAATAAATTACCCACTACAATGTTGTCTTCATAAGCAATAAACTAAAGGGAGAAAAATCTAATTAGGCACTTTGTGTTTACCTGAAATAACCGTGCAATGGAGAGCAGCATTAATCCAAATAGGAATCCATTGTACTGGAAATGAATATCTGGATATATGTCAAGGAAACACATCAGAAGACCCCAAATTCATAATGAACAGTGACCGCCAAATGAATATAGAAATTGCAAATGCTTCCTTAAAGACAAATATACTACTAATAATTTGGACTTCTCATAAATGTTTTCCATAAAGAATCAAAAAAATCTTCTAAAATTAATGTTAAAGAAGAAAAACAGAATCTTTCCTATGGTTTTTCCTAATTTAACGGTCATCAGCTAAGGTGCAAGAAGTTTCTATTTTGTTTTGATGTTTGTGGGGTCCTGGGGATTGAACCCAGAGGCAAGTAGTCTAACACTGAATTATTTTCCCAGTACTTTTTATTTTTAAATTTTGAGACAAGGCCTGGATAAATTGCTAAGACTGGCCTCAAACTTGTGATCCTGCTGCCACAATGTCCTGAATTGCTGAGATTACAGGTGTGTACCCACCAGTTTACATTTTGTTTCGTTTTTCAGAATTAGGGTTGAAAAATGGAGGTACCTAATAGCCATTTAAGGCTGCTAGCATGCAGCACTTCATTGTTTGACGTAATTTGAAGTAATACACAATCTCTTTTAAAAAATGTTTTATTTGGGGGCTAGGGTTGTGGCTCAGAGGAAAAGCGCTTGCCTAGCATGAGTGAGGCATTGAGTTCAATCCTCAGCACTACATAAAAATTAAATAAAGGCATTGTGTCCACCTACAACTAAAGAATAAATGTTTTTAAAAAAGTTTTATTTGTTCTTTTTAGTTATACATGACAGTAGAATATATTTTGACATATTATACATACATGGGGTATAACTTTCCATTTTTGGGACTATACATGATGTGGAGTTACACTGGTCGTGTATTCACATATGAACACAGGAAAGTTATGTCCAATCCATTTTACTGTCATTCCCATTCTCATCCCTCTTTCCTCTCCCTTCCCTTCATTCCCCTTTGTCTAATCCAGTTAACATCTATTTTTTCCTTTCCTCTGCTTATTGTGAGATAGCATATGAATATCAGAGAGAACATTTGGCCTTTGGTTTTTTGGGATTTGCTTATTTCACTTAGCATGATAGTCTCTGGGTCCATATTTTCACCTGCAAATGCCATAATTTCATTCTTCTTTATGGCTGAGTAATATTCCATTGACATACTCAATCTTATTTATTAAGCTTCACAATGAATTTGTGAGGTATTCAGAATTACCATTTATTGATTGATTGTAGTACTAGGGATTGAAGCTTAGTGGTAGGGCAATCTACCACTGAGCTACACCTCTAACCCTTTTTTTTGAGACTATTCATGGTCCTAAAAGCTACAGTGACAACATAACTATGATTTAAGTGCAGGTCAGATTAAAAACAAAGTCCAAGTGTTCTCTACACCAGTCTACCTTTATGAAAATTGCAAACTATTAGATTTCTATCATTAGGATTTTAATTACATAAAGATCCTCTGAATTTAAGAATTTTGCCTGTTAATAGGTAGTAAGCCAAAATGGTAGGAAAGCATGAAGGTCTGGCTGCTCCTACATGTAACATCCTTTCCTATAAGAGGTATTTAGTATAATGTGTTATAAACTATTTAATATATATTAGTTTAATCTAAAAACAGTCAACAGTTGGGCATGGTGATACATGCCTGTAATACCAGTGGCTGAGGCAGGAGAACTGCAACTCTGAGGTCAGGCTGGGCAATTTAGTGAGACCCTGTTTTTTTTTTTTTTAAAAAAAGGCCAGGGATGTAGCACAGTGGTAATCCTCAGTACCATTTAATTAATCAAGACAGCTGGATGTGGTGATATAATTCAATCCTCAGTGCCAAATTAAAAAGAAAAAAGACAGCTGACAAATTTGAGCATACACATATATGTGAGTATACATACAATATACACACACTCTCATGTATGTATCAGCATATTGTTTTACTGATTTTGCTTTCTTGTGGTACTGGGGATTGAACCCAGGGCTCCATGCATGCTAGGCAAATACTCTACCATTGAGCCACATCCATAGCTCTTTAAGAATAGTTTAAGAGATTTTCATATATTACCACTAACTTCTCAGGGACAAAGTGTTCCAACAGCCAGAGTCCACTAATAAAGGGCAGAAAGCATAGTTTTAGAAGCCCATTAATTCACCTGATGCCAATTTTCAAAATAAGTTCACATTTAGAAATCATAATTATTAAAAGATTTAATCTTATTAGTATACTTTAGAAGACATAAGGAAAATATTACACAGAGTATCAAGGATACGGTCCACAATTAACAATCCGAAATTCCACAATAGTAACACTGAAAGAATAAACTTTGGTTTCTCTGTAAGTTCTTTACCCGCCTTTTTTCCATTGATGCATTTACAGCACCTATTGATTCATCAGGAATGAAACGAAAACTTTGATTTTTCACTAGAGCATCACGATACTTCTGCAGAGTACACTATGGTACATTTTACAAGCCATTACTGACAAACTGTCCATGCTATTCTTAGTTGCTTATAAAGGTGGCAGCAGAGACAAAGAACTCAGGGCTGGTTCCATGTCTTTCTCAGCTATGTTCTTCTTAATCGAAGTCTTCATTTAATTAAAAATAAAATTAAAAGTAACCTAAAACTCCAAAATAAGTCTTTTGAAAACTGAAAGTACACATATTATTTCAGTCCTTCAGAATAAAAAAACGCAGGGGCTTGGGATGTAGCTCAGTGGTAGAGCATGTGCAAGCCCCTGGGTTGAATCACAAACCCCAATGGAGTAGCAAACTTGAGACTCTTGCTTGTCCAAATAATAATTTTATAAAAATTTTATGTAAAATTGTATGCTATTTAAATGTTGTGATATATTAACAATAAAGGTAATAAAAAATATAATCCCATTTTTATTTTATTTTATAAAAATTATAGTAAGGGCTGGGGATATAGTTCATTTGGTAGAGTACCTGCCTTGCATGCACATGGGTTCAATCGCAAGCACCACCACCACCCCCCCCAAAAAAAAAATATATATATATATATAACATATACACATAATACTATAGATGTAATATATATAGTATTATATATGTAATATGTGTGTGTATATACACATATATAATATATACATATATACGTATATATTATATATATGTATATATGTATATACATATGTGTGTGTGTGTATATATATATTAAGGCCCCAAAGAGACCAAATATACATCAAAATGTTAATAGTAACAATTATGGAAGGGAGAAAATAGGGTCATTTTTACTTTGTGTTTGTATGAGTGCTTTTCCAAAATTTGTCAAAGATGTATTATTTTATGAAAATATGTTTAAAAATGTGTTACATTTGAATATCAGCTAATTTTAAAAACAATAAAGGGCCCAGCATGGTGGTGACTGTAATCCCAGCAGCATGGGAGGCTGAGGCCAAAGGATCACAAATTCAAAGTCAGCCTAAGCAACTTAATAAGACCTTGTCTCAAAATAAAAAATAATAAGAGATGGGGATATGACCCAGTGGTTAAATGTCCCTGGGTTCAATCCCTAGTACCAAAGCAAACAAAAAAACTATAGAGACAGTTAAAGAGGGTACTGCTTTTCCTTGATGAAGACTCAGCTTCCTCATGAATAGGTACAGTAACCTTTTAGAATAATTGAGAAAATTAAATAAATTAATAATCTACCCACAGTGCCTGGTTCTGGGAATCGGCATATACATTTTGATGCTTTTATTTAACTATTTTCCCTACTTTGAAATTAATTTTGCTCCCTCTCCTTTTCTTGGAAAGAGCTTGAATTCAAATATTTTGAGTTAAAAGGAGTATACTACAAATCATCTTCCTTCCAACTTTTGCCAAGTCACAAAGAGTGAAAGAAAGGAGGTCAAACAGGAATTACTCAATGAGAAAAGCAGAGATTAACACATTCCCAAGGGACTCTTCCTGACTGGGACAAGGGTTCAGTCTAGAGGGTCTCACTAATAGAAAGGATCCATTTATGCCAAGGGTCACTGAACGGACATTAGTTATTGCTCCGTCACAATCATACTGGCAGATTTAAGTTTTATGAAAGGATGGAAGCCAACTTTAAATGAAAACTTACATATTTGGAAGTCACTGTGCAAGATATACTATATATGAATATTTATTTAAAACTAAGTTATAAGATGTAAGATATAAAATATAAAAAGGTTAACATAAAGAAGAGTCTTCATGAAGAAAACAATCCAGAAATAACAACTAAAAGTACTAAGATTTCTTGAGTTTAGCGGAATGTAAACTTCTAACAGCAGACTTTGGTGATGAACACAATGGATTATATGTGCACAGTGTTTATGTGCATCCCAAAGAACAAGGCAGCCATAAAAGCCTCTGAGGGCCTGATGCAAGGAAGGAAAGAAAAGCATGTGGAGATATTCTGGCTGGGAGAAATGGTCTTGGAACTCCACCTGGTCTACTTTTTTCCCCCTACAACATTCACAATTTCTTTTTCTACCTCTGCCTTGCCACCTGACCTCATTCTAATTTCTTCTGCAAGATTACATTAGACTGCTCATGTACTTACTCACAGTATTCTGTTATATGAGCTTTGTTTCCTCTAAATCAGGAATAAGTTAATCTATTTAATACTATATTTCTTCAATACCCTCCACATAGAATGACATTTCCCACTTACTCGTAGACAGCATACACAAAGAGTGCATCTGTAAAGATGACAGAAAATCTCTGGAAAAATAAGGTCCTTGAGCTGCAGTAGTTCAGATTATGAACATTAAGCATCGCTTGATCAAAATATTTGGCAACATGTGACAGGACATACTCAAACCACGCAAAAAAAGGAGGGTAATCCAAGGTCCACTCTGAAGTTGCCTGTGATAAAAATTGAAGATAAAACATTTTAAGTAACTGAATAAACAAAGATATAAAGAATTAAAAACCTTTATACTTTCTGGCCTTTTAATGAATGAATGAAATGAACTGCTTTTAAAATAATGCCCTAAATATGTAGAGCAATTCCTATCTAAGAATGAGCAGAACACTAAAACTTGTCTTCCAGGTTATTTCATATGGTCTTCAATTTCCTTGTATGGAATCAACTATACTTCAAAGGAAACTAACCTGAAGCCTTGAAATAATAAACATGGCTCAGACATAATTCTACCCTTTGTAAGCAGAGCTGCAGAATAACAAAGGATTCTTCAGCTTGGGTTCAATTTCTGTCTGACATACTCAATTCCCCAACTTCTAACATGAGATACTATGAAGATTAAATGAGGTAATATATGTGAAATATATTTCTAAACAACAAAATGCTACATAAATGCTATTTACTTTTTTTCAGTAGGTTATAGGATCCTTGAGAGCAGAAACCACCCCTTGTCATTTTGTATCCTGAATTTAGTTAAGTGCTGGATACATTAATTATTAACAATAACTATTAGTTAAATGAGTGAACTAATGAGTAAATAAAGCTATAGATCATATGAAAAACATATAAACTTCAGAATATTATATTTTGTTAGATTTCTGTAAATCTCCATTTTTCTTACTTATACAAAAGGGATGGTAGTATCTACATCATGTGGTTATTATGAGTATTATTATAATATATGTATATATAAATATATGTATAATGCATGTGTATATATAATTACATATAAATAATTTTACCTAATATGCTCTTATTTGTAAGTTATAAAATCTATATATATGGTATTAAGCTGGATACAAACATAATAATATTATTATCACTTAAAATTATTACTATTGGCTAGGGGTGTAGCTCAGTGGTAGAGTGCGTGGTTAACATTCACAGGGTCCTGGGTTCAATCCCAGGCATCAATCAATAAAATAAAATTTATTTTAAAAATTACTATCATTGTCCCCAAAACTCAAACTAAGGCCTGTACCTAGAAGAGGTGAAGATATTAATCACTTGTTGCTCTTTTCAATGAGAAACTATTCTTTATTTAGAAGTGCACTACATGTATACTGAATACTAACTGGCTGCCCAAAGGGACTGCTGTTCAGGGTCTCTCTGTGATAAAAAATGAGGTGAGAGAGACTCAGACAAAATGTTAGTTCTCTGTTCAGTTTTTTTTTTTTTTTTTTATGGTGCTGGGGATTGAATCCAGGGCCTTGTGCATTCGAGGCAAGCACTCTATCAACTGAGCTATATCTCTAGCACCCCTTCTGTTCACTTTTATTTAAATTTTTAAAATTTATTTATTTTTTTCAGTTTAGATGGACACAATACTTTCTTTCTTTCTTTATTTTTATGTGGTGCTGAGGATTGAATCCAGTGCCTCACATGTGCTAGACAAACATTCTACCACTGAGCTACAACCCCAGACCTTTATTTGGTTATCATGGTGCTGGGATTGAACCTAGGGCCTCATGTACGCCCAGTCAGGCCCTCCACTCACAATGAGAAATAAATGAAACTTTAGTCCTAACCTGTTTGCTCCCTACTGTAGGAGTAAAATGAGAAGACAGATAAGCTAAGGCAAAACCAGAGGAGCTCTGTCAGAGCATTCAGGCTATGAACCCACCCATTAAGTTCTACTTCATGAAATATCCTTCTCTATCTCCAAGTCTCCAATGTGGGGTGTAAACAAAACAGGCCACTGAACTAAAGAAAAATTAGAAACTTTATGTTTTAGTCTCATCCTTTAAAAATTTCTATCTTAGGGGCTGGAGTTGTGGCTCAGTGGTAGAACACTTGCCTAGCATGTGTGAGGCACTGGGTTCGATTCTCAATACTGCATATAAAGAAATGAATAAAATAAAGGTCCACCAACATCTAAAAACATATTTTAAAAAAATTTCTATCTTAGCTGGGCGTGGTGGTGCACGCCTGTAATCCCAGCCACTTGGGAGGCTGAGACAGAAGGATTGAGAGTTCAGAGCAGCCTCAGCAACGGTGAGGCACCAAGCAACTCATTGAGACCCGGTCTCCAAATAAAATACAGAATGGGGTTAGGGATGAGGCTCAGTAGTTGAGTACCCCTAGTTCAATCCCCAGTATCTCCCACCAAAATTTCTATCTTAATTGTGTATTAATGGAGCATTGTCTTTATAATTTTAAATAAAGACACATTGCGTAGACAGTGCTCAAAAATGATTTCTTGATAGGACAATCCAAAGAAGTTTAGAAATTACTGTTCATGTAATTCTAAGAAATTACAATAATAATGATGTCTACAATATCTAGATTTCATTAAGATTTGCAGTTTCCAGCTACATTCCAAATGACAGACCTCAATCTACTTTTTTTTTTTTTTAATTTTTTCTTTTTTTGGTATTGGGGATTGAATCCAGGGGTGCTTTATCACCGAGTTATATTTCCAGCCCTTTTTATTTTTTATTCTTGAGACAGGGTCTCACTAAGTTGCTTAGGGCCTCACATTTGCAATTCTCCTGCATTAGCCTCCTGAGTCACTGGGATTAAGGGCATGAGCCACCACACCTGGTTTACTCTTTTTTCACTTTTGGTACTGGAGATTGAACTCAGGGCCTCATGAATGCTAAGCAAGAGGAACTCTACCACTAAGCTATGTCCGAAGTCCTTCAATCTACTTTTTTTTTTTTTTTTGGTAGTTGTAAGTGGACAGAATCCCTTTATTTTATATGTTTATTTTTATGTGATGCTAAGGATCGAACCAGTGCTTCACACATGCTAGGCAAGTGCTCTACCACTGAGCTACAAACCCAGCCCTCAATCTACTCTTAAAGAATCATTAATTTTATTGGAAGTCTAAGTTTTTCCAGTCTTATTTTACTGACATAGTTATATATTTTTAAAGTGGAAAGCATTAAAAGAATTTGGGTTGGGCACCATGGCATATAATCCCAATGGCTAGGAAGGCTAAGGTAGAAGCATTGCGAGTTTCCTAAATTCAAGCCTAGCCTGAGAACTTAGCCAGACCCTGTTTCAAAAATAAAAAATGGCTGGAGATATAGTTCATAGTTCTATGGCAAAGTGCTCTTGGGTTCAATCTCCAGTACCAGCCCCCCCCCCCCGAAAAAAAAAAAAATCAGGACACTGTTCTGCCTGAGACAGTCACTTTTTTCAAAATAAAGTTTTATACTTTCTTTACTGTCTCTAATCATCTCACACTACTCAGGGACTCTGTGTTCATAACCCCTAATCCACATAAAGATTTCCTAAAGTAGGCCCAGAAGGCCTCTTAACCTCAAGGATTACTATCTAAGGGCATCTTCTTAGCTAAATAAGTTTTGGGAAGCCAATGCAGCTTTAGCTAGAATTTCTTCCGAATCACTTAACTAAGAGGTGCTGGAGACCAAACTCAAATCAAACACAAATCTGGGTCTTTTGACTCCAAATGCATTATTAGCTCAAGAAGCTACTGCAGGGGCTAGGGCTGTAGCTCAGTGGTAGAATGTCTGTCTAGCATGTGTGAGGCACTGGGTTCAATCCTCAGCACCACCTAAAAATAAGTAAATAAAGATTAAAAAAAAAAAAGAAGAAGAAGAAGAAGAAGCTACCACAACAAAGATATTTCTTCAAATACTGAACACATAACTTGTACATATAAAGATTCAAAGGAAATGTGTTCATTTAACAATTATTTATTAAGAGTCTTTTCTTTTTTTTTAAACATCAGTGGACTTTTATTTTATTCATATATTTGTTTTGGTGCTGAGAATAGAACTCAGTGCCTCACACATGCTAGACAAGTGCTCTACCACTGAGCCACAACCCCAGCCCTATTAAGGGTCTTTCTGGTGTCTCTTCTAACCAACTGACCAATTTAATTTGAGGCCAGTTAAGAAGAGCTCCATAAAGCAATCCATGCTTCACACATATACTCTCCTGGGACATATAAGACCCTAACTGATCCAGTGCACATATCTTTCCAGCCTTATCTCCTTCTATGAGTCTCTGCCAAACCACTGAGTTTTGCTTCTTGTTGGTTTTTGTTGCCAAGAACATGCATAAACCTCTTCTATAACAGATTTAGGAGATACCTTTGGCACAAATACAGTTTTAGAAGTCTTAAGATAATGGGAAGTGGTGAAAGTTATAGGACTAAATGAAAGGATACCCAGAAAGAATTAAAGGAAAAAGAATTCCAGGGAGTACTAGCTTTTTAAGGGGTGTGCAGATAAAGAAGAGTTAGCAAAGGAGACTGAGAAGGAACAGTCAAAAAGGGAGAAATGGCAGGGCTGGGGTTGTGGCTCAGAGGTGGAGCGGTTGCCTAGCATGCATGGGGCACTGGGTTTGACCTCAGCATCACATAAAAATAAAAGTATCGTGTACACCTATAACTAAAATATAAATATTAAAAAAAAGGAGAAATGGCAAGATAGGGGACTGCCTTTTCATTTATAGGCTGAGAGTCACTACATTAATGATGTTAATTAATAATTGATTAAAAATATTTGTTGAGCATTTTGTTCCAAGTACTGTGTTAAAAATGCTTCACGGTTTTATTCATTTCAACTTAACAATTATTTACATTATTTCATAATTGGGAACACTGAGGATTTGAGAGGTCAAATATCATGCCCATCATCACCCAGCACAGTCATTAAGAAGCAGTGCTGAAAGTCAAATCCAGGCAGTCTGAAGCTACTACCCAAATTCTAGACTACTAGTCTACACACTACTTCTAGTTGGTATCCATACATGCAGACTGAAATACCTCTTGCTGATGCAATCATTTAAAGTTCCTCAGCATTCCTATGAAATAAAGTATTATCACGTGAAGTAAAGTATTATCATGTGAGAATAAACTTATTCATATAGGACAATTGTTCAGAGTACAAAAACAAAACAACCCAAAAAGCTATTTCTGAAAACTCAACTTAAAAATTACTAATGGGCTTAAAGATGTAGCTCTGGGGTAGAACACTTGCCTAGCAGTTCGAGGTCCTGGATTTGATCCCAAGTACTGTCAAAAATGGGGGGGAGGGTGTCCTTCCTGATGGCAAACTACAGCTTTTGATTAGAATATTTCTAAGATGATGTCTGTTTTTCATGAAGTACCACATGCAATTTAGATATTCATCCAGAAATAAAAACACAGATGTGGTTTCTAGAAGTATTAGGAGAGAATTATTTGCATATTACATGATACCTACATATTACCTTTAATTATTCCTTTCCACATAAAATCACAAAATACTAGGGATAGACAGGATCTTAGAAATGATTCATTCTAAATCCCCATGTGCCAGGTGAAAGAGTGTGGTCCAAGACATGAAATATTTTGTGTCTGTCTATATAAATAGAGCCAGGCCTAGAATTTAATTTTTCTTCTTTCCTAATCCAATGTTCCTTCAAAAAAAAGAGAGGTAGATGATATAATTCACAATTTATAGATTGGGAATCTCATTTTGAAGTAAGGGGATTCTAATGGTTCCAGAGAACAGAACTGAGGAAAAAAACATATATAAAACATGTATGTGTGTATACACACACACACACACATATACACACACACACATATGGTTTTAGCACTAGGGATTTAACCCAGGGTGCTTTACTACTGAGCCACATCCTTGGCCCTTTTTATCTCTCTCTCTCTCTCTCTCTCTCTCTCTCTCTCTCTCTTTTTTAAAACACTTTTTTAGTTGTAGGTGGAAACAATATCTTTATTTTATTTTTATGTGGTGCTGAGGTTCAAATCCAGTGCCTCATATGTGCAAGGCAAGTGCTCTACCACTGAGCCACAACTCCAGCGCCGCCCCCCACCCTACTGCCTTTTATTTTTTATTTTGAGACAGGGTCTCACTAAATTGCTTAGGGCTTCACTAAGTTGACAAGGCTAGCCTTGAACCTGAGATCCTTCTACCTCAGCCTTGCAAGTTACTTGGATTATAGGCATATGCAACTATGCCTGGCTCTTTTTTTACAAGAGTTGGACACGATACCTTTATTTCACTCATTTATTTTTTACATGATGCTGAGGATCTAACCCAGGGTCCCGTGCGTGCCAGACAAGCACTCTACCGCTGAGCCACAACCCCAGCCCTGCCTGGCTCTTTTTATTTTGAGACTAGTCTTGCTAAATTGTAGAGGCTGGCCTTGACCTTTTGATCTCCTGCTTCTGCCTGTTGGGTTGGTTGTGATTATAGGCATGCACCACCACACAATTAATTTTTGTAAAGATTAATTAGATCTATGTTGTATAAAACCCTATTTTTAATATATGTTTTTCTTTTCTTTTCTTTTTGTGGTGGTAGACAAGGCAAACTATCTATCACTGAGTTATACTCCCAGCACCAGAAACTTGTTTTAATATGAATAATATTTACATGATTTTACATATCATCTTAAAAGAAGTAAAAGACATGAAAATTAAAACTTACCTCATAATACCACTGTGATATTGGCAAACTGTGAGTGATAGCAAGCCAGTTGCGGTGTACTTCAAAATCTGTAGAATGGCTACCAAAGCAATCAGATGAATAAAATGAGATTTTGAAACATTTAATAAATTCTATTTTCTTATTATGCTTTTAAAAGGATCAACAGCCCCTAAACAGTCACAGCTCACTATCCTATAAAGACAAAAACAGGCATTACATAATCCTGAAAAACCTCACTTATCTGTACATCACAAGGCCTGACCTTCTGTAAAGTTGTTGGGAGATCTAGAAATCAGTGAAAAGGATCTCAGAATTATCTAAAGGGCTGAAAAAATACTTACAGGAGGCTCCCAGGCTATTCCTCAGAAGTGACTTTCTATTGCTTACAAACAATTCTAACAAAATTAATTTTCTGGAGAAAGCCTCACATAAAAGCTGGACCCTCAAGGATGAGGAGGAAGTGGAAAAAGGTCCTAGTCCTATCTTTTCACTGCATCCACATCCCTGTCACTATATATAAATATATCCAAATAGCTCCAGAATATTTTTGTCTGCACTGTACTGCCCCTCCATATCTAGAAAGTACTTTACACCTGGATAGGATCAATGCATTCTTGTTGAATATCCACTCACCAAAGTCAACAGATTATCCCTCACAGCTCAGTTTGTTTTCCAATGTTTTACACCTTTCCACAGTAACAACTTTGTCTTAAGTCTCCTGGCCACTCCTTTCTCAGTCTCCAGGCTTTTCTTTTCCATACTTATCAGGTAAATGTTGATGTGCCCCTAAGTTTAGTTCTGGGGCTTCTAAAGCAAAGTACTCTGCTCTAGACAATCTTGTTCACATGATAGTAGTTCCACTGTCATGTAAGGATTCACAAATTGCAATATACAATCTAGGTCTTTTTCTTGATTTCTAGAGAGAGATAGCCCCAAATTCCTGAGATAATCTCACCTAAATTTCATAGCAATTCCTCAAAATCACCACTGAACTGATAACATAGCAATTTCATTTTTAGGTATATATTTATAGATGTTCTTACTAAAAGACTTATGTGACCTAAGAATGTTCCAAAGCAGGATTATTTGCAACAGATAAAAGTGGAGATAATCCAAATGTCCATGAACAGTAGAATGGTTAAACTATCATATATATCCATATAATAGAATACTATAGGGCACCAATTCCCGAAGTATGACTCCCAAGGAGACCCTTTCAGGAAGTTTGTAGGACAAAACTTATTTTCATAACATTCAGATATTATCTGTCCTTTTTTTCACTTTCCTTTTTTCACAAGTATGCAGTGGTATTCCAGAGACTACATAATGTGATGTCATTACTGTGACAGTTACTAGAATTGGTACTTGCATATTGTGCTTTAACAATTCCTCAGTTCCAATTTCTAAAATGGTAAATATAAGCCAGGCCCAATGTTATCTCTGTAATCCCAGTGATTTTGGATCTAAGGCTGGAGGGTCTCAAGTTCAAAGCCAGCCTAGGCAACTTAGAAAAACCCTATCTCAAAATAAAAAACAATAGGACTGGGTGTGTAGTTCAAAAATAAAGTACCCCTGGGTTCAATCCTCAGTACTGGGGTCAGGGTGGTGGGGGAGAATGAACCAACTATAAACTCATACATTGAGTGAAAGGAGCCAGAACATTTGAATGGTTTCTTTTGTATAAACCTCAAAAACAGGAAAAATTTAACCTATGGAGTTAAAGGTCAGAAAACCAATATCCTTGATGAGGACAGAGAAGTGAATGGAGAAGCATGTGGGGTTTCTGATAAAATTCTGCTTATTGCCCTAGATGCTCTTTTTGTTTTGTTTTTTGATATCAGGGATTGAACTCAGGGGTCACTTGGCCTCTGAGCCACATCCTCAACCCTATTTTGTATTTTATTTAGAAACAGGGTCTCACTGAGCTGCTTAGTGCTTTGCTTTTGCTGAGGCTGGCTTTGGTTCTCCTGCCCCAGCCTCCCAAGCTGCTGGGATTACAGGTGTGCGCCACCACACCCGGCCCTATGTATTCTTTATTGATAAATTAACTCTGTAAAAATCAGTGATATACATTTATGATTCACACATATGATATATTTTACTTAACTGGGTATAGAATTCTAGGCTACTAAGAATTTAAAAAACTTTCTCCATTGGTTTTTACTAATAAATGTTGATGTGCAGATATCTCATTTTTTCACTTCATCTCTGGAAGTTTTTTGTCTTCTTATCCTTAGCAGTCTAAAATTTTTAGTAACTGATGTTCTGGTGAGGGCCTTTTTTCATTCATTATGCTGGGCACTTAAGTGTCCTTCAGCTCTGGGAAATTTTATTATTTATCTCCTCTCCTGTCTTGTGTATTTTTTTTTTCCTGAAAATTTTATAGTTGAATGTTAGGCATTCTACAATGTACTTCTAATTCTTTTCCTTTACATTTTATTTTATTCTTTTCTCTTATTCCTTTTATTTTAATTTTGGCAATTACACTTACTTTTATTTTTTGGTACCAAGAATTGTACCCAGGCGTACTTTCCCACTGAGCCACATCCCCAACCTTTTTTATATTTTGAGACAGGGTCTTGCTAAGTTGCTTAGGGCCTTGCTAAATTGATGAGGCTGGTCTCAAATTTGCGATCATTCTGCCTCAGCTTTCTGAGTCACTGGGATTACAGGCGTCTGACACCATGCCCAGTTACATTTTCCTTTTTAAAGTACTCCGTTCTCTCATCATCTCTATTTTATAGCATCTTTTCTGTCTTTATCCATATTATCTTTTTTCTCTCTGAAGAGAGCATCTAGAAGACATGAGGGAGTGTGGGGACATTTTCTTAGTTGTACTACCTCAATTTCCCTTTTTTGGTTGTTGTTGTTTTGGTTGCTGTTATTTTGTTTCTTTTTGGATACTGTTGGAGGCTTCACTTTCTGATAATTAGATACACTGCTAAGTTTTAGTAGCAGATCCCCAAAAGATATTTTCTCTGAGGTTGTTCAATTTCCCCAGAAAACAACCTGATTTTCTGCTTCTGCACTTAGTTGAGGGAATAACAGTGGGGTGGAGAATGGGATGTGGGAGATTGACCACTCTGTATAGACTTCCAATTAATCTTCATTTTCTTCCCTTTATCTTACTTATGCCTTCCATATAATCTGCTAACTCTGAATCCAGACTTCCCTATTTACTGTCCTCAGAGAGAAATCTCACTTACGAGGGAAATACAGTCCAGTATTACAGGACTGCAGATTTAAAAAAAAAAAAAGTATACTGATTGTTGAGCTGGAGATATAACTCAGTGGTAGAGTGCTTGCCTAGCACATGCAAAGACCGGGTTGGATCCCCTGAACCACAGTAAAAAAAAAAAAAAAAAAAAAAAAAAAAATTTTAAAGTATATTGACTGTCATCCAATTTTCCAATTTCGAATCCCATATACTCAAACTTTGAAGCCCTCTAGAGTTCTTTAAGGTATATAGACTCCTTTCTTGTCTGTCCTCTGCAAGCATGCTGGTAGAAGGTCCCTTTGTGTTGCTAAATCAGTTATCACTCTTCTACCAGATTCAAAGGCTGCTGAATGTTCTCATACACTGATATCCTTTCTCATTAGGTTTATAATTACTTTGCCATTATTGTGAGAAGAGATACGTTTTGGTAACCATAAGTCTTTGACAGAACTTGTCTGTTTCCCCATCTTGACTATAAGCAATTTGAGCAAAAAAACTGTCTTTCACTTTAGTGTTCTGTTTACTATAATGTAGGAATATAGTAGATGTTTTTGAAATGTTTCCTGAACAAAAACAAATGAAGAGTTATAAATATTCATAAAAGCATTACAAAAATCTAAATCAAAGAGGGAGAATTTTAGCCTTGTGGCACTTTTTTCTTTCTTTCCTTTCTTCCTTTTTTTTTTTGTGTGTGTGTGTGTGTGTGTGTTGTGGTGCTGAGGATTGAACCGAGGGCCTTGTGCATACAAGGCAAGCCCTCTACCAACTGAGCTATATCCCCAAACCATAGCACCTTTTTTCTATTTATCAAAGAAACTAAGACGAACAAAAGTAATTTTAACTTACTGAAAAGGTATTTGGAAAAAAATGAAAAACCAAGATTGGAGACATAATGCCAAATAGCAAGTAACTATAGTCATGGACCCCTTAACAACAAGGATGAGAAACGTATCTTTTGGCAATTTGTATTTGTGCAAACATCATAGAAAGTTCACATATAAACTAAGATGGTCACAATGTAGATGATATAATTTTACAGGGTTACAGTTGTATAATATGTGGTCCATTTGAACAAAACAATGTCATTTTATGGTACATGATTGTACTTTGGCTGCAATGTAAAGATTAATAAATGGCCGAAGTGACAATTATCAAGAATACAAGCAACCATAAATGTTGGCAAGGATACATACATTGCTGGTGGGAATGCAAATTGGTGTAACCACTATGGAAAGCAATGGAGATTCCTCAGAAAACTTGGAATGGAACCACCATTTGACCCAGTTATCCCACTCCTCAGTTTATATCCCAAACACTCAAAATCAGCATACTTCAGTGACACAGCTACATCAATGTTTATAGCAGCTCAATTCACAATAGCCAAGCTATTTAACCAAACTAGATGCCCTTCAACAGATGAATGGATAAAGAAAATGTGGTATATATATACACACACAGGAATATTACTTGACCTTAAAGAAGAATGAAATTATGGCATTTGCAAGTAAATGGATGGAGCTGGAGAATATCATGCTAGGCAAAATAAACCAATCCCAAAGTACCAAAAGCCAAATGTTTTCACAATAAGTGGGTGGATAGTGAAGAACAGAGATACTTTGGATTAGTCAGAGAGGAGTGAAGGGAAGGGAGGGAATATGGGGGTATGAAAGATAGTAGAAGGAATTGGACATTATTACCAGATAGATGTACATATATGACCACACAACCAGTCTAACTCTATATTATTTACAACCAGAAGAATGAGAAGTTATACTCCATTTATGTATGATATGTCAAAATGCATTCTACTGTCATGTATAACTAATTAGAACAAATAAAAATATATAAAAAAAATATAGCTCAGATGATAGAGTGCTTGCCTTGTATGCACAAGGCCCTGGTTCAATCCCCAGCATCACAAAAACAAACAAACAAATAAGTAAATAGCCAGAGTGAATACTTAAAGTTCAATTAGGAAGCTCTCCTACAACAAATACTCTTAATCCTTGACCTGCAGCAGTACTCAAGATACATTTCTAGGCTGAAGTAACTAAAACAAGAAAAATGACCTTATACACACAGACCTATAGTTTAAAAAGCAAAGCAAAAAAACCAAAAAACCCTTTCATTTTATTATGAAAGGAATTTCTTATATTTTAGTAAGATCTTTCCAATTTGCTTGTAAGATGGAAAGATGTTTCTTATTTGCTTTCATGTGACCAATACCCCTGTAAGTTACTTTGCCATATTGCAATTCTTATATAATTACATATATAAGTATGGAATTTCTATACATATAGTTCTTCCACACCCAACAAGAGATTATCAAGAACTCAAATCAAAATGATACCAATAAAGCAAACCCTAAAACTAACAAATGGGAGACCCTGAGGGGCGGTGAGAAAAAGGATGAGGGAAAAAAAACCAGGAAAGTGGATAAAGGGAAGGCAGAAACTAATGTTAATAAATGTTGATACGGAGCACCTGTTGTATAGATACCACATTTGGTAGTGGTTTCCCCTTCTGATGCTTTCAGTCTTGACCCAGCAAACAACTTTTCTGTATACAACAGTCTAACTATGGTTTTCTTAACTGTGTGATCTGGCTAATATCTACTTTTCCTGCACCACTTTTCCTCCTTAACTGCTATTTAGACAACAGGCTACTTTCTGCTCAGGATATCCAGAATTCTCTCCTATTGTAGGAAAGACCTACTCTTTCTCATTTCTGAACTTTTTTTCACATTACTCTTTTTCATACTTTGGATTTTAACTCAAAGATCACCTCAGTTGGATACGACCAAATCACAATTTTTGCGTGTATGAGACTGTCAGTGAAACCCACTAATTTATACAATTGATATCCGGTTTTTGTGCCAGGGATTGAACCCAGAGCCACTTAACCACTGAGCCACACCCCCAAGCCCCCTTTTTTTTTTTTTGATTTAGCGAACGGTCTCGCTGAGTTGCTTAGGGCCTCGCAAACTTGCTGAGGCTGGCTTTGAACTCGGGATCCTCCAGCCTCAGCTTCCAGAGCCGCTTGGTTTCAGGCGGGCGCAGCGGCCTCATCCTTCATATCTTATCACAACCTGAAACTTTCCTGTTTGTCTGCCCCAACCAACTCCAAGTCACCGCATCCCCAGGACTTAGAACAGAGCTGGAGCCCCATTGCAGTTGATAATACCTGTTTAATGAATGGTGGAGGTGGGTACTTATTTGCACATTGAGGATGAGGACCTTGAAGCTCAAAAAGTTCAGAGTACTTGCCCTAAGTCAGACAGCAACGGGGCTGAACAGGACCAGCCAGGGCTATATTCTAGTTCTAAGTAACAACCGCAGAAGTGGGAAGCTTAGCAAAGGTGGAGTGGCGTCCACGACCCAACATCTCTCTTCATACCCAGGGATATAACACACATTTTCCTCCCGCCCTGACCGACCCTGGGGCCTTCCCGCCCAGCCCCTGGCCGTGCAGGTCCTTACTAGGTAGGAATGAGAAGGCATTTGAGGAGAGTCACCCCGAGCGCCAAAGCAGAAAACCAATTGCCACTACCCGTTAGGGTTCCGAGCGCCGCCATTGCTGCAGCACAGCGCACTTTCAATCTATTTGAGCCACATCCGGCCTTCCGCGCATGCGGAGAAGGCCCTCCGCGGCGGTGCCCTTGCACTGCGCGCATGCGCATATCCGCTTAGCCGCCCAGAGGCCAGAACTCAAGCTTTTAAATTTCCCGCCCACTGCATTCCTCACAGTCCGGGCTCCCGGGGCAGGACGCCACAGCGCCTGCGCGGGCGCTGGCAGCGACAGGTTTGTTTTATTTGCCAATTTATACTTCTGACTCAAACAGTCCCTGGTCTCCTGTAGGTCTTGATTTTACTGGCGTTTGGCATAATAGGTGAGAAAAATCTTACCTTGTCATAGAGCTAAGTTCGGAGTGCTAGTGGAGGAGATGGTTGTTATCCGTGGTTACAGTAGATATAAGTAGGGAGGCCCCGGAACCGGAATTTAAAATGCAGGTGTAGTGGCACCCCCTCCTCCACAGAAAATTTTAACTAAGCTTCTCCAAAATCTTGACCAAAATGGATTTTAGGACAAGAAGCAAAAGAGTCTCTACAAAAGAGTTCAATGTAGGTAAAATTCCTATTTTCATGTTGCCTTATTTTACTTGGCCACTGGCCTGGAAGAAATAAGCGCTCCAGGTGCTGAACACCCCTTTACTAGTTTTTCAGAAACATTTATCCAGTGTAGTAATTTGTAGAAGTGTGTTTACAAATGCAAAATGTGATAATAAAAAGACAAATCTTTTAACAAAGCCTCTGGCCTTGAGCTGGAGCTTCACAAAGATGTCTACATTTCTAGGATGAGAAATTGGGCTCAATGGTAACAGCTGGCAGGGGGAGGAAAGGAAGGGGAGAAGAAGCTCTCCCCTTCTCAGGTGTTGTCCTTGAAGGGTTAACTTGCCCAGAACAGTGAAAAGAAAAATCTGTTTTTATGTGAACTTCTGCAGACTGTGAACTTCTGAGCCCCTCCTCTTACAAGCTGGGTATAAAATTCTGAAACTAGGCCTGGGGTTGTAGCTCCAGTGGTAGAGCATTTGACTAGAACGTGTGAGGCACTGGGTTCGGTCTTCAGCACCACATAATAATAAATAAAATAAAGGTATTGTGTCCATCTAAAACTAAAAAAAAAAAAAAAAAAATTCTGAAACTACCTGAACTCTGGGGATTAGTTGATTCCAGCGAAAGCTGTACCCTCTGAACTTGGCTGCAGCCAAATAAAACTGCTATTTTGGTGCCCTGCCTCATCTGTCCCTACAACAGAGGTAGAGAATAACATGAGCAGAGATAGAGGTAGAAACCAATCTATATTGCTAGGACTCCAAGCTAGGACATGGTGGAGCACCTAGCTGCGTGGAGCCTGATCTGGAAGCCTGATACCAAATATTAAGAGTCTAATATTTCCCGCACTTAATGTGATAACTAGGAATCTTGTTAAAATTCACATTTGAATCCAATAAACCTAACAAACTCCTAGATTGCATCAATGGTGCTGGTACTCGGCCACAAGCACTGAGGCAAAAAGCAATAGAATTAGTTCTTTTTTTTTTTTTTAACCTCCATTTTGATACTAGGGATTGAACCCAGGGCACTTTACCACTGAGCTACATCCCAGCCCTTTTATTTTTATTGTGAGACTGTCTCACAAAGTTGCTGAGGCAGGCCTTGAACTTGGCAATTCTCCTGTCATGCCAGCATTACAGGCATGACCATGGGACCTGGCTGAAGTTAGTTTGTCTCTACTTTGTGCTGTCTGTGGACTAGGACAAACTTTAAAAACAAAAACAAAACAAAAAAAAAATAAATAAAAAACACCTCAGTTTCTTTTTTTGTAAAATAGGAGATAAAAATGGTGATTGTGAGGATTAAGAGAATGTATATAAATTGTGTGGGATGATACCAGGACAGAATAAGTGCTCAATAATGTGTCAGAGAAATTAAATACTCTTCTGAAAGATGCACAGCAAGTAGGTATTAACATGAATTTATATTCCCCGCAGCCATCTGCCATCAACATGTGTATGATGCTCAAATTTATACCTCAAGCTCCACCCTCTTCTCTCACCTATATAGATCCTTATCTACCAACTGCCTACTGGTGTCTGCTATGTGTCCTGCCCCACCTTTTTCTTTTCAGTGCTGGGGATCAAACCCAGGACCTCCTGTAGGCTAGGCAAGCACTCTACTACTGAGCTATGCCCCCCAGGTCTCTTAGATGTTTTAAAGTATCTTGCATTAGTTTCTGCTATATTGCTGCTATAACAAATTACCACAAATTCAGTAGCTTAAACAACACAAATTGATTCTTAACAGTTCTGCAGACCAGAAATCTGAAAGTCCCACTAGGTTAAAGTCAAGGGGTTGATTCCTTTTATTTATTAACTCTGACATTATTTCCTGAGCTTTAGGAGTCCTATTGAGAAAGTCGTTGTCTGTGCCTATATATTGGAGTTTTGTCCCCGTAGTTTCTTCTAGGAGTTGTATAGTTTCTGATCTAATTCCTAGGTCTTTGATCCATTTTGAGTAGACTTTTGTGCAGGATGAGAGATAAGGTCTAATTTCATTCTTTTACATATGGATAACTAGTTTACCCAGCACTGTTTGTTAAAAAGGCTGTCTTTTCTCCAATGTATGTTTTTTGGCAACTTTGTCAAGGATCAGTGTGATTTATCTCTGTGTCTTCTCTTCTGTACCATTGTGTATCCTTTTTTAAAAAAAAAATTAATTTTTTTTTTAGTTGTTTATGGACCTTTATTTTATCTATTTATTTACTTATATGTGGTACTGAGAATTGAACCCAATGCCTCAAACATGCTAGGCAAGTGCTCTACCACTGAGCCACATTTCCAACCCCTTATGTCAGCCTTATAGGGTTGTCAAGGTAGAATATTTGAACAGATAAAACAATATACAATTTGGAGATGTTTTTCTTAAGCCACATGACCTGGCCACTTTCCTTTCTAAGAAGTTGATCCATTCTGCTCCAGTTCCTGGGCATTGCTGGTGACTGGAAAGCTCTCCTGACCACTAACAAGCTTTTCTCTGAGAGAAAACATGCTCAGATTTTGATTATCTCACAGACTGCAGCAGTTCTGTGGGTTCTGAGTGCCCAGAGACTTGTTTTTATTTTCAATTCTTATATTTTTTTGGAACCTGAAACTATGATTATAATTGTTCCCATAAATGAAAGGTTGTTTTTTCTTTTAACCTCAGGGTGATTGTTGATAATGTCACTTAGAGAATGAAGTCAAAAAGAAACCGCTAAGTTCCAAGTTTAAAATTTTAAATAAACAATATTGCATTTAGATGTTGTAGTATTTATTTATTGCTACATAAAAATTTGCCCCCAATCTTAGAACCTAAAATAAAAAACACTATTATATCACAATTTCTGTGATCAGGAGCTCAAGAGTGGCTTAATTGGGTGGCTGTGGCTCAGGGTCTTTCCCGAGATTCCAGCCAGGATGACATCAGAGGCTGTAGCCAACTGAAGATGTGACTGGAGCTGAAGTATCCACTTCCAAGGCCAGCAAAAGGCCTCAGTTCCTATTCATCTGGGATTTTCCCTGGGTGCTTGGTTGTCCTTCCGGGACATAGCAATTGGCTGCTGCCAGATATAGATTCAAGAATGAGCAAGAGGGCAGAGGTTGTGGCTCACTGGGGGAGTGCTTGCCTCGCACATGTGAGGCACTGGGTTCGATCCTCAGCACCACATAACAAAAATATTGTACCCATGTATAAAAGAAAATAAACAAAAAGAATGAGAAAGAAGCAAGTTGCCATGTTTTTCATGATGTAGAGTCAGGTACACATCAACACTTTAGCATCATTTATTAGAAGCCACTTACTAAATCTAATCCACAGTCAGGGAAAGAGCAGTTAGACTCCACCACTTGAAGGGAGGAATAGCAAGGAATTTGTTGACATATTTAAAATCTACCATAGAAGACTTTTTTACATTCTTGGGATATTAGGAAAAAAATTGTACCTAGGTGAAAACAAAACTGTCTCTTGTAGTGGGAAGGCTCTCCATTTATTATGTCTAGTTTGTTCTCCCTGTCAATAATTTTTTTCTCTTTCTCTGTTATAGCAGGCCCTCAAAATGTACACATTCTATGTTAAGCCTTGGGTATTCAAGGATGAATAACAGGAACTGCCTTATCTGAGGACTAATGCATGCAGGCACCATGCTGAACACTTTTATTGCTTTTATCTTCATAACTATCCTTTGAGGTAGGTATTGTGATTATCCCCATTTTTTAGATAAGAAAACCAAGGTTCAGAGAGGTTAAAAAACTTGCTCAAGGATGCTTAGTAAGTTAAAGAGGTAGGATTTGAATTCAGGACTGTCTACGATTACATTTTCCTATCACCCACATGGAATTTCAGGAGCTTAGAGTCTCCCAAAGCATATGACACAACAAATTGCTCATAGAATGTGAAGAGTCAGCAATTAGAGATAGGAATAAAGGGACGCAATGGAGAGAATAATCATATCCCCACTTTCTAGTGGCTACACATTTTCTACAGAGAAAAGTTGAAGCTGTCATTCAGACCTCTATGACACAGACCCTATTTGCTTCTCCAGCTTCATCTCACATTGCTTCCTCCCACTTAATTTATTCTAGCCACATGAAAGAGTTAGATAGTAGTTAGTGATGATCAGTGAAATGTGAACCAATAACACAGAAAGGTCACGGAGTTTCTTTGAATTGCCTTTAATGAACAATCAAGTAACTTTGTAGAACAACAGGTATACCAACTCTGAGAATAAATAGATGGACACAAAGAGAGCCAATTAAGGAATACATCAAGAAGGAAAGATCAATGGGACTGACTCCTCTACTGAGGTCATTGTAAAGTTAGGATTTATGGCCATAAGTTTCTCAATGTATTTCAGAAGGAAATTTCTTTAGTAATTCAGGTGCACTAAAGATGAGGTCTGCCTAGTCATAGACCCTGGCACCTGCATTAATCTAGAAATTGACTTGTAAATGAAGCCCCCTGAATGGGGTGGTCACCATGATAGTTCTGGAGAGGACCAACTAAGGTAAAAAACTCTCCTGCCTGATGTGAAGGAGGAGTTAAACATTTAATTGGTAAAGACTGCATTAGGTGGAACCCAGTTCTCCTGAAAAACATCAAATGGTAATAAATTTGGAAATGACATTGTTCCTTTGTTTTTGCTCAGAAGTTACTCTCTATCTTTCTTTAAGAATTTAACGTTTATTTTTTATTTATTTGCTTTTTATGTGGTGCTGAGGATTGAATCCAATCCCTCACCCATGCTGGGCAAGTGCTCTACTACTGAGCTACAATCCCCGCCTTGACTCTCTCTCTCGATAGTGTTCTTTCACTCATAATAAAATTCTCTTGCTTGACTTTTTGTGTCTGACTTTAAATTTTTTATTGAGACACAAGAATAGATGTTTGGAGTTTCAGCTCCTTGCTCTCCTGTGATAGGACTTCTCTGAATATACCTTGTTATTTATGCATCTCTACCTTTGTATGTGCTGTTCCCTCCCCCAATGCCCATGACATGCTACCACAAATCCTTCATGACCCAGCCCAAAGGATCCATGGCAATTTCCCAAAACCCTTTCTGTAGGTTTTTTTCTTTTTTTCTTTTGGTATCAGGGATTGAATTTAGGGGTGCTTAACCACTGATCCATATTCACCTGTATTTATATTTATTTAGAGATAGGGTCTCATTAAGTTGCTTAGGGTCTCCCTGTTAGACCAGGATGCAAGAAAAGACCACTGACTCCAATTAAAATCAAATTAAAGCAAGCTTATTATTTCCACCGGCCGGGCTGCCTCTCCCTCCCAAAACAGCGGGAACAAGACAGCACCCCAGCTTTCCTACAGCCCAGCTTTATAGCCCAGAAAGTTACACAAAGGGGGGTTACAGATAACAGAACTCTGACAAGCATCACACTAATGGTAGTTTACATTTTTTGCTGGCCCCAACATCAGAATTTATGAGGACCATTAGAGCCTCAGAGAGGGTCGTTGTCTGGCCAGGGAAGGCCAATATTTATGAGGTGTCACTAAGTTTCAGAGAGGGCTACTATCTGGTTAGAGAGCCAGGCATGGGTGCGTTCAAGGCACGGGCAGGCATTCCAAGCAGGTTCAGAATTTGCAGTAATTTATAGTAAAGCCGAAATTATCTTTTCATGGTTTTGTGGCGAGATGCCCAATTTTAAGAAAAGACCAGGTTGGGTCTATCATCACTAAGTTGCTGAGGCTGGCTTTGAAACTCACAATTCTCCTGCCTTATTCTCCTGAGCTGCTGGGATTACAGGTGAGCACCATTGCACCCGGCTGTAGATTTCTTTTAATGCATTTGATATCGCTGGTTATCGGGTTCTGCTCCCTCACATGTTGAAGTTAAGCATGCCAAGTCAAGCATATAAAGCAGGGTTTATTTAAAAAGGGGTAACATTGACTTCTCCAGGGAGGGAGAAGGGCGCCATAGCTGGTATCCTCGTATTCCCAGAAGTGAGGTGTTCTGCCCTTTTTGTATGTCCTAGGATTTCTTTGTGACTAGACTCAGGAATGAATGCTTGTTGGAATGGCCAAAAGGTAGGAAACAGGTGGGCTGAAGGGGGAAGGGTAGGATGGAGCTGCCCAAGACACAACCTTAACAACCTTATAGCTGAAGGTAGGGAGGGGCAATTTAGATCTAGGTAAAACTGACTTTACCCAGCCATTTCCTGATTTTATGGCCTGTAGAAGCCAAAATCCTTGCTGATATTTCTATAGATTCTCAGACTTATGTTTTCACATGACATATTTCTCTAGATTTCCTACTCCCTCACTCATAGCCTGTGTTCTTACCTGTAATTCAGGGAGTACTTTCAATTCCAGGAAAAGTCTGCTCATACAGCATATTTGTAAGACTTTTCAGACTGTCAGCCTGCCCCTCCTCCACCCTCTTTAGCTACCTGGCCACAGGGTGTCCCCTGTTACCAAGCAGCTCCAGTGCTGACCTGGGGAAAGGCTAAACCACTCCAGAAATATTCAAATTCAAATTGGTAGGAAAATATGTTTTATTCAAAGACAGATTTGAAGGAAGATAGAAGAAACTTACTGTTAAAAAAAATTCCAGGGCTTGGGGTTATGGCTCAGTGGTAGAGCACTTGCCTGGCATGTGTGAGGAACTGGGTTTGATCCTCAGCACCACATAAAAATAAATAAATAAAGATATTGTGTCCATATACAACTAAAAAAATACCTTAAAAATTTTTCATTTTCAGGGGCTAGGGATGTGGCTCAAGCAGTAGCGCGCTCGCCTGGCATGAATGCTGCCCAGGTTCCATCCTCAGCACCAGATACAAACAAAGATGTTGTGTCCGCCGAAAACTGAAAAATAAATATTAAAAAATTCTCTCTCTCTCGCTCTCTCTCTTTAAAAAAACACACACACACACAAACAAACAAACACACACAAAAAACAAACAAACAAAACAAACCTCTTCTACAGCTGTTTATACATGGAATAGTTTCAGGGCACTTTCCATGTGTGGCCTTTCCTTCTGTCCAAGCCCTTATCAAGGTGGTATTCTAAATAAATGCAACTCCTTTCCAAAGAGGAATTCTAGAGCTGGCAGTTGTTTGGATGTTAATTTTTTCCATCTTCTTATCTAACTCTTTGTTTATGAAGGTGCCTTAGTTTAGGCTTCTATAAAAAAAAAATACCATAAACCAGACACAGTGGCACATGCCTATCATCCCAGCTACTCAGGAAGCAGAGGCAGGAGGATCACAAGTTTGAGGCCAGCATGGACAATCTAGAGAGACCCTGCCTTTTTTTTTTAATTTTTATTTTTTAAAATTTATTCTAATTAGTTATACATGATAGCAGAGGAGACCCTGTCTTTAAAAAGGGGCTGGGGATATAGATTAGTGGAGAGTGTGCTTATATAGCATGTTCAAGTCCTTTGGTTTGACCCCTAGTATGGGGTGAGAGGGGAGATGTGGGAGGCCACCTGTAAATTATTTGAGCTTATTTGAGCCTCTTCACTCTGCCTGAGCCAGTAAGATTTAGGTTTGGCGTTGAAAACTATTTTGTGGCTCCTCCGCTCGATAGATTGCGCAATGCACGTGACCTCTGCCTTTTCCGGGCTAGGGACACTGCTCTTGTAGCTCCAAAGTTGGGCTTAATGCATTGGAAACTGGACAGCCCACCTCCTACCTTAATTGGCTAAGTATATTCTATGGAAAACCTTTGATGTCCCCCCCCCCCCAATAAATAAAGCAAGCACTGGCTCTATCTCCTTATTTCCAGTGTGGAAGCTTGATCCCTAAGATGGGATAGCCATCCTGCCCCCCACCTTTCTAAAATTCCTGTGTCCTGTGGTTTCTTCCCTGTTTTCTCTTTCTCGGTTTTATTTCACAGCCAACTGGTTACACGCGAGGAGCTCCAACTTTCATTGCCTGTGTGGGACATGGCTGTGAGGGTGGTGAGGGGGACAACCATAGACTAGTGACTTACAAACAACAGACATTTATTTCTCACAGTTCTAAGGCTCTTAAGTCAGGTAGAGGGTTCTGGCCCAGGCCCTCTCCAAGCTGCAGACTGCCAGTGTTTCACTGTGTCCTCACCTGGTAGAGAGTAAGACAGCTCTCTGGGATCCATTTGTGAGGACTGTACTCTCAGGACTTAATTACTTCCCAAAGACCCCTCCTCCTGATGTTATGGCACTAAAGGTTAGGATTTCAACATACGAATTTTGGGATAGGAGGACACAAATAGTTCAAAACAGAGTATTTGACCCACAGTTCTAAATCAGGTCTTATCTGATTCATTTTGGTTGCTCCAGTTCCCTGCACAGAGTTTGGGATATTTGTAACATTTGTTGAATAAGTAGATTGATGGGAATGACTTACTGAAAAAAAAAAAAAAAACTATTAAAAGAGTGGAACTGGGGCAGTGAGGTGGGGTTGGAGTATCTCAGTGGTAGAGCACCTGGCATGTTTGAGGCCTTGGATTCAATTCCCCAAAAAAAGTGTTTGATATTAATTACCTGATAGTTTTAAGAGATCTTAAGTTATGTGAAACAAAGAGGCTAAGGGCCTTAATGTTAGTTCCATTTCTGTTTCTGACTTGCTGTACAACCAGGGCATGTCACTTTTCCTTTCTTTCTGTACCTTGGTAGAAAAATGAGAAGGTGGTTTTTGTTATTCCTCTTTGTTCTACCAGCCACACCTCATTCTAATCCCCACCTGCAATCTGATGCTTCACAGTGGGGACCTGGTTGGCCTGCTGGGTGGCTTATTATTAAAACCCACCTGCTTGGTTAAGATGTGTTTTCAAAGCAGAGTCGACCTAGAATTATTCTAGCTCATGGTTCTTATTCAGGACACCTGTGCATTTCTCACTCTCCTTCAGTGCTTATGTAAAGCTGGATGTTGAATGAACTCCTTTTTGTCTCCTTTGCTTTATGTATTAAATGCCAGGGATAGAGCTCTTACCTAGCATATGAGAGGCCTTGGGTTGATTCCCAGCACTAGGGGGGAAAAGTTCCCATCAGTTTTTTCTTGTGTCCAGCCTCCATACATGAATGTGTGTATGTAGCCAGCATGGTGACACATACCTGTAATTCCAGTGACTTGCGGTGGCTGAGACGGAAGGATTGCAAGTTCAAGGTCAGCCTCAGCAATTTAGTGAAAGAGACTATTACAGAGCTGAGGCCTTCTAGGAAACTGAGGCAACACAAATACTCCCCTTTCAAATCCTGATTCTTTGGGCCAAGTCAGAAAGATTTCAGACATGCCACTTAGAGTAACAGGAATGAGTTTATTGAAAGGATAGGAAAAGAGAAAGGGGACACTCTCAAGGGAGAAAGTGGGTCCTCTCAGAGAGAAGAGGGATAATGTGTCTTTCCTGCATTCCAGTTTGATTGGGGATCCCAGAAAGTTTCCAGAGAATCTGATCCAGGTCCACCTTTTGACTTTTGGCTGGCAGCAAGATGACATCAGATTGTCAAGTCCCCACTGCCATGGCAACTCTAGGTCACCTTGGCCCATGCCGTCCTGTTCTAATTGGACTCTTAACCATACATTCTTATAGCTTTTAAGATTAGGAGGAACTGTCCTTATCTCCCAGATTTTCAGCATCTAGTCACAAAAGTCTCCTGGGTTCTTCCCATCAACATTATCTTGGGTCCGTTTTCTCCTGCGCTTAACAGGTTTGCTGAGAAATATGACATATCCTGTCCACAGAGGCCACACAGGGCTGTAGGTAAATTGTTTCTTGGAAAAGAGTCTGAAGAGGCAAAGGTTTGCAAGGATCAATTGATCACAGTGGGACCATTTTATAGAACTCGTTATCTGTCTGTTCCCTAATAAGACTATCTTAAAATTTAAAAAAATAAAAAAATAAAAAGAACTGGTGATATGGCTCAGTGGTAAAGTGCCCTTGGGTTCAATCCCAGTACCAGGGAAAAAAAGAATGTGTGTGTGTGTGTGAGAGAGAGAGAGTGTGTGTGCGCGCGTCTGTGCACATGCAAGTGCACACAACCACGTTCTTTATTTTATTTTTATTTTTATGTGGTGCTGAGGATGGAACCCCGTGCCTCACATGTGCTAGGCAGGTACTTTGCCACTGAGCTACAGGCCCAGCTTTCCACATATCCACTTTTTTTTTATTTTTAAGAAGTTTTTTTCTTTTTTTAATTAATTTTTTTTTAAAAATAAATTACAGTGGAATGCATTACAAACTTATTACACATATACAGCACAATTTTTCATATCTCTGGTTGTATATAAAGTATATTGACACTAATTCGTGTCTTCATACTTTAGATAATGATGTCTATAACATTACTAGAAAAAAGATTTTTGGCAAAAAATCAGTGATGTGCAAAACGTGAATAAACTAGAAATATTTTCAAAGTACAAACTAATCTTACATAAATGGGATGTTAAGAGCTTCTCATCTTTGCTCTTGTGATGGTGCCAGGCTTGATTTCAAAAGTATTCTATATCCTGCTATAGAGGCATGGAATTCTGGTTTCCTTATGCTCATCAGAGCTTCTAAGTCCTACCTAAAACATTTATTGTAGCTCTTGCTTCAATGACCTTTTCTTGTAACTTGCACTGAAAATACCTATAAGGACAGAGAACTGAAATGACATTATCATAACTAACAGTAAATACATTAAAATGTGTGTGTACAGAATTCTTCCTGAGATTTTCTCTTATACCTAGCAGTGCACATATCCACTTTCTTAACCAGGTTTTTGTTTGTTTGTTTTATTTTTTTCTCTCTGGAATTTCCTGAAGAAGATTTTGTTTGTTTGTTTGTTTGTTTTGGTGTGTGTGTGGTATTGATGTTCAAGCCCTGGGAGTTGTACATGCTAAATGCTAAGCATGCCTTTTACCACTGAGCTATATCCCCAGAACCCTGAAAATATGTGTTTTCTGAAGGAATTAGGAACTAAAGGAAATGGAGACTTAAATAACCCTCAGGGAGGGCTGGGGATATGGCTCAAGTGGTAGTGCATACTGGGTTCGTTTCTCAGCACCGCGTAAAAAATGAAATAAAGATATTGTGTCCACCTAAAAAAAAAATAAATACTTAAAAAAAAAAAACCCTGGGGGAAGAACGGAGCTCAGGAATCTGACCTGTTGCAATCTCCATCATCTGCCCAAATCCCCCTGCCTGCCAAAAGCAAGCTGCCTAAAGTAAGTGATCAACTCCTCCCATGATCTGGCCCTTGTTGTAGTGTAATGCCAGATTCGTGGGACCCCAGTAGACCTCCAGGAGCCAAATCCGATGCAGTCACACAAGAGTCTTTATTGCAAGCTCGAGCCTGGACTCACAACCGTTCCCGCCTCATCGGTCCCAGGGAGTGGAGTCCCAGTCCTTTGTTCAGTGAGATTTTATAGGTTTTGGGGGTATACTCGATGCATCACAACATCACACAGCAAATCATTCCATACTGCGGGAAAATCAAACAACAGCTCTTAACATTGATTAGCACATTCAATGGCAGGAATAAGTTGGATAGGGGTGATTGTTTAGTACAAGAGGGGAATTCGTTTGAACTGATTGGTTTAGGCCACTAGGGGTGTACGTGCTAAACTACATGGTTTCCCAACATGTTATTGGGGGTCATCTGGCATTCCAGGTATTTTCCCTGTCTCATGCTGATTGGAGGTTACTAGGGGAGTTGTTATGGGTCCTCACCTAGCCTAACTGAGTCAGGGACACCTGGTGCTGTAGACCTCTCCTGTTATTTACAAACAACTCAGCAGGGTGGGTATGTGCTTAGGAGTGCTCTGTGGGTTTTTCCAAGGACAAGGGTCACGCCCCCTTCCTTAGGACAGGCCTTGAGGTAGAAGCTGCTGTTATTTATTTATTTTTAAAAATGGAGTCACATC